TTGGCCCTATGAAAATTTTATTAATTTGACATGAAAATTTTATGAAAAGCTCAATTTATGCCTTATTAACCAACCTCAGTATCTCACCATCAATGTCAATATGGCTCCGGAAGTTTTAGATTTATCACCAGGAAATTTATGGAAAATTTCTCGTGTAATTCCATTCGACTTTATTGATTTTATTCCACACCACAAAGAAAACCTCTCTGAAAACCACAATCTTCAGATGAAACATACTTTGAAAAATAATTTCCTGCACAAACATTCCACCAGATATAACGAGAGGAATGCAATTTCTGAATCAGTCCAAGACGTGAGAAAAATATAGTTCCGTTTGAGCTGAAAACCCTCAATTGCAGTAACACAATATTAAGTTGAAAAGCTTTTAAACTTTCAATTACATATAAATATATGTATCTGTAATGTATACAGAAGGAAAAAAATAATCAAGAAAAAAGAAAATTGAATTCAATTCAACAAAGTTATATGTTAAAATACATATTTACTTTGTAAGTAGCAATAGATCATTTAAAACTTTGTTTTGTAAGGATTCTCAAACCCGTGCAAAGGTTTCATCAAGCGTTTGTTCATTAATACATCATACCTTCTATTATCTCTTGCTGTGCTAATGACATTTATGCTCAGAAATTCGCCAAAATGAAAAATATTTCAGGAAAACCCCAGAGTTATTTTCACAAATTGCACTTTTTCTTCTCTTCACTTCGAAACCCATATAAGGATCCATCGCTATGCGCACTGCATATATTCCCACCAATTCACACAGAAATTGCACCATCCACTCCAATTTCCAATATAATGCTCAGTATATGTACATAGATAGAAATGTGTGCAGAACACCATAATTTGAGAGCTACAAGAGCGCCCGCATCGAATTATAATCTTCATATCCTCGCAAACAGCAAATAGCATCAAGTGGAAATTCAAATGTATATTTTCATGTTTTACGATATTTACCCAAAACAAAATGCTCCACTTCATCAATCGAAATGCTCTATATTGAATATCACACATTTGTAAACTGATAATGTGATTAAAAGAGCTGAAACAATAAAATACTAAGTGGAATTTATATATTTTTTGTTCTCATCATGCGACACAAAATATGACACATAATGTTATTACAATCAAATAACTAAAATTATTATTCTATTAAAATTTTATTGGAATTCGAAATGCGCTTATGCACAATGAAATTCCAATACAGAAGGTATTTACATAGAATTTATATTGAACTTTGGTTAATTAAAATTCACATTGCGCAAAATATTTTACTAAAATATGACGCATTTTTGCCCCGTGCATAGTTACTCAGTCAAAATAGGGAACCTATTCTGAAGAAATTGCCTTCGATTTCATTGTGCGTCTGTCGCTTTTGCTGAGGAACGCACGAGGACTTTAATACATCTCTTCCGATTCATGAATTTCTGCGTAGGATTATGGATGAGAGGAAAATTCCCAGTGCCAACATGGCCAAAATCAATGAGAAGCAGAGAACGTATGGTGTTGTATCTTTAGAACAAGGCTGAGGGGCAATTGGAAATGGACATGCATAATGCCAGAGGGAAGGAGAAGATTGAGCACAAAAGGACTATCACAAATTTCTCGGATGGTCAATCATGTGAATTGTTACTGTTTCATTGTCAACGGAAGTGCGGGGAAAGTGGAGAGAGAAAAACAATAACCACTTCCATAAGTTAATCGGCTTTTTATCCTGCTCCACTTGGCATTTGACGAGGCAAAATGAATTTCCATTTTTCGAGTGTCAATACCTACATAGAAAATAAATTGCAATTTTAATTGCAATTTAATTCCCTTTATACAGCAACATTGTGCGAGGATTCCGTTTATTGAAATATAGTAGTACATTATAACAACTTTTAATCCACATCGTAGGCGGCCGCCCACGTCTCGTGATATGATGGACAAAAAGGCATTCTTGATATTTGTCACATTAGTTATCTAATTGACTCAATTAGAGATATTTTTGTGAGAAAACTTTCATGATTAATTTTCATCTTGTGCTCCAGCAAATGAGTAGGTGTCTCAAAAGAGTGTTTTTGCCCAATATTAACTCTGGCATTTCTATAGGAGAGCAAACTTTTTTTTTGACAAAGTATCTTAGCATCAATTCATGCTCACTCAAACCGCCATCTCTTCCACCCACAGCCCACAATTTGCGGAGAATAAGTGTGTGATAAAATTGTAGGTCAGTTCAAGGTTGTCACTAAAATATCATCCCTCACTTGCCGCACAGCAGGGTCAATCTTTCACCACTGGGAGATTCTTGTGGGAAATACAAAAAACCACACTGTTGACACAGTCCACCCATAAAATGAATAAATTTCTCCCATAGTACAAAAACTAAATCACTGCTGATGGAATTCCACTCCACCATATTTTCCAGAGAATTTCCACCGCAAAAACTAACTTTGCTCGGGAATTTGAATGAGCGAAATTTCATTTTCTCATATCACTAATTGGGTGGGACGAGGGCTGAGAGTCCACAATCTAGAGAGAAAGGTTTAGCATAAGCGGGAAAGTTCCTAGGAAATGCTGAGTGATGCCTAATTTTTTCCCAAGGGAAAGATAATCATGGTTAAAATCTGTACACCTCTTTCTAAAACTTTCACATTTTGTATGATTATGTATTTCTATTTAGAACTCTCCTTTTGTCCCTAATAAATCACATAACCCAGAAAAATATGTCAAAATTAGGACTTGGATAAAAATTAATTTCTGCGAGTAAAACAATCAACAGAAAATCAAAGCTATGAATCAAGTATTGGAAAAATTGAAGCACTTCCACATCCTAAAATAAAACTTCTACTGATCTGAACACCACTTCTGACCATATTATCTCCCCCTTGTTTTCTCCCCATGTGTGCTGTACGTGCACAAATACGCCAGAAGCTAATTACTTTAGTACCGAGCATAAGTTAAAAATAAACGCGAATAACATCAGTGCCTAGTCACACTGTTACATTCGTTACATTCATCAAGCATGCAGTCCCTAAACTTGTAATTAAGTTGGAAATGACCACAAACCTCTGTCCGCATCCCATTTTACAATGTACCACATTTAGAATGCTTGTAAAATTCTGCGTGAAATACTTAAAATCGCTCCCATTCTACCCCTGTTTAGTTAAACATGATTTAACCATGCATAATTGAATAATGAGGGATGAAATGTGTATAATTTTGACTTGAAGCCAATTTGTTGCTTTTTAATTGTGCACGCTTCACTCTGTGCTCAAACTCACTCTGGGCCACTCAACTGAGAAAATAGCCAAAAGGTTAATGTCATGAAGTCATTTGCTATATTTAATAAAATGTATAATTTCAAAACTGCACTTTCAGACTTTATTTATACGCGTGAAATGCAAAAACAGAATCACATTGGCAATTTCGTATAAACATCAAATATTCAACATTTCATCATACACACAAAAAGATGAATTATTATGGCAAATTCCTCACAATATCATTCATGAGATAAATGTATAATTTTCACTAAAAGTCATCTCTCAGCACTATCATATCTCACATCTTTTCGCATTTGTACATAAAAATAAACATTTCCACGGGAAATATTTTCTACTTTTCTTTTCTTCTCACCACATTTCTCATCAATTCAAAATGGAAAAAAAATATTCGAGCACAAACATGACGCCCCTTTTCTCCCCAAGCACATCCAAGCAACGAGAAAAACAAGCCTATTTAATTAAAAGCATAGATGGTAGAAATGTGATTCTCCATAATAAGTTAAATTACCAAGGCATATAAACACAAAATAAACATATAAACTTATTTTTAGACACACACACACACAACATACTATAATTCCAAATATCTAATTCACATTGCTAATTACGCTTAAGGAACAAGGACAGAGAAAAGAAAATGAGGTAAGTAAAATCCTTGACGTGTTGTACAAGTTCCTGGGCGACGCTTCGTGAATTTTCTGAGAAACAAACTATACTAGAAATTAATTGTACCCGAAATAGAATCATTCGCGGTTCCACGTTCTATATTACAACATTCATGAAATACACTTTTCTTCATCGCAACACTTCTTTTATTGTATTCTTTCTGCTGTTCATACGTTTCCCACCGCCACCTTCCCACCCATCCGCGAATCCCCAAAAGCGCTCAAACATCACACTCTTTCTCTCTGTACCAGAAGCCGGATTGCTCGTCTAATCACACACGTAGAGAAAAAACGCCCACACTTCCGTCTCAAAGCTCCTCACATTTTCCAAATTACTCCATTCACACTTTCATATATATACATATATATTCAAAATGCCCCGCAACAGCACAATCACAGAAAAGTCTGCGCCTCACCTTTATACGCGCATGTACTCGCATTCTATGCTCACTGCACACCCTCTCCGCCTCATTCGCAGCCCAAAAAGCCAGAAATAATCATAAATGAGTCTCTAGAGTTGCCTGACTCTCGTCTCCACCTCAAGTATACAACATGTTCCGTATCATTTTCAACTCATTCATATCACAATAACAATGCTGTGCGGTTTCTGCGGTGAAAATTCTTATCAATGGGAAATTATGATGACCTTTCCGTCATGTACACACTTGTAACGGGAAAATCAAAGAACCGAGTATGAGAATACTGGATAAAATTCTATAAATAACGCAGAACTAATACAGCTAAGTAAGTAATAATCACTCCGAATCAAATAGAGCCCTCTGAGGCTCTGAGACAAAGCGATGTGTCGCGAATTATCACGTGAAGATAGGGGTCTGCATTTTTCCATCAATTGTCCCTGATTAATGACTAATTATCATGCCAAATTTAAAGCCATTCGTTCTAGTCCTTTATCCACAATCCCTAATAGTATATAACTAAGGTCGATTAAGTAAAGGATCAAAGCTCAGAATACATTTAAATTGGTCTTTCATCTATCTATCCAGCAATTCTGCTCTCAACGAGAAACTATAATGATAGGATTTCTACTCACCTCATCCCACTTGATGAACTTTTCGCCTTCCTGCAGTGCTTTGGACACTTCAATGGAGCCCAATTGAACGTACGTTGTAGCATTGCCGCTCACAGTCGGCGACGCCGACAGGGAAGCCGTGTTCCTGGGACTTTGATCCTTCTGCTGTTGCTTCTGGCTGTCTGGCGGCACCGCGACGGCCACAGCGGCGGCCGCTGGACCCGCGACTGTTGACAGAGCCGACGATGCCATTCCGTGTCCTCGTGGTGTGGGTCAGTGAGACAGGAGAGAACGCCGCGCACTTCCTCCTCTTCACTCAGTACTCTATCGTATGACTTGTGTCCAGATATTGTTGATTAATGTCACTATTTGTGCCACTTTGCTACTTTGCAATCCATGTTTGCATACATCGAGCAGTTCTATCTTTTCACTTCTACACACGTTTCATCTGTCCTTTGTCAGAACTGCGAAATGTCCTTTAATGCAATTACTTATTAAAATGGATTTTTAAGCAGAAACACTTCCGCGCAGAAAGTGATATTCTTCAACAAACACCATGAACATAATTGAATTTCATGGGGAGCACAAAGAGAGAGAGAGAGAGAGAAAATGAATTATAAATTGAAAACTCTCACAGTGAAAATTCAATTAATCTGTTTTGCAATTTCACAAAGTTTTTTTCTCGTTTCTTTTACATAGAAAACAGACTTTTATGCACACACAGAACAAATGTTTGTCATCTGAGCGCAAAATAAAAAAAATGTCATGAAAAATCGCCAAGATTTCATCGAATTTGTCGGAGATTGAGTTACAAATCATGTAAAGCGGAAAACATCGTTTCCACTGTCAAATCAATTTTTCAGAAGAAATCCTTGTTCACCAGAGATGTAAAGTAATTCCACGGAAATTAAATTATGATTAACATGAGAATCTCATTTTGCCGTGATTTCGCCACTGACACAAAAAACACACTTTTACATGGCTAGGAATAATTCCCAGAACGACAGACTGACAGTGATAAAAATAAGACAATACAGAATGTAATTTTGCGGACAAAAAGTGTGCAAGAGAGGACAAAAGCTTAGTCTTTGGCATTTTTTTTTAACACCTCTAGGCCTTTAATATATTGAATATGAACTCAATGTGGCGGCTTTATCTCACTCCAGTAGATTAGGAATCACCTTTTGAGTTGTCACTGTTTTTCGGCTGTCTCGCGATAACCGCCAGTGCGAAAAAAAATCGTGCAAACCAGACGAGTGATTTACTCCAGAATGAGAGCCACAATTATTTACAATTACCATCCTCTTTGGGGAACTCTATCGATAAGATAAGAGACAATGAATTGCTTCCCATTTGCAATATTGCCATGGCAGTGTGTTTATGTGAAATTGCTAGGCTCTGGTTAAGAAATGTAAGAAAAAAAAGTTCTGGTATCAAACTCATTGGTATCGAATGGAGAAGAGAATAAAAAGGCCGACATTCCACAGAACATTAATTGGTGATTTTGTGAGCAAAAACACACAATAAATCTACATTTAAAGTCATCCAATCCGACTGAGGTTATTTTGAGAGTGGAACAGAGAAGATGTGTGCGATATTGTGCTGATGGAATGGATCAAGAACTTTCTTCGATTGACACAGTAATTAAATTTGCAGCACGGAGAGTGTAGCTAAACACTTAATAAATTGACGAGCCTTTTCCCCTCGATGAGAAAACTTTTAGGTTGTGATTCGGCTACATTTCCTTCAATTACTCCTTCAGCCAGAAACTTTATCCCCATATAATTCTGACTCTTCGGCATTTGTGTAGCTTCACTATCATTCTACACATCAGAAGATTTGCTATCCCAAATGACACGGTAATAAATTTTGAATTCCTCCAGAGACACATCAAAGCCCGCAATAAAAACTCCAGCCGCAAACTGTTGGAGAATTTTGCAATGTCAAGCAAATTGCAATGAAATATGAAAGGAAAAATTATTTGTTATACGACTAGAAACATAAAGTGTTGTTTCCTCATGCCTAAAATATCACGCCAACAGAGTAATAATTGCTCGCGATTTTTATGGTTACTCTTTTTTATACTTCCCTCTCGCCGAGCCTATGCGAAAAAAAGATCTCACGCGCCCAGAAATTGACTACATCAGCTTCCCCGTCAGCATAAAATGCAAATTTATTCAAATTTCACTTTGGCAACATATTTGGAGGAGGCAGAGGAAGCATTAAAAACAGGCACACAGAAAAAAATGAATGCTATTCCTTACTAAATATCATCACATTCCATCCAGTAAATTCCTTCGTTAAACATCTCATGAATAGGAAATTTAGCACTGATAATTACGATCATTTAACTACACGCAATCTTGTGTATCTCTTTGACCTAATCGGCATTAAAATATACTCTTCAAGTACTACGCATTTCCACCCGCGATTAAGAGCGGGAAATTAGTGATAACACATGCAGGTGTTTTCTTCCATTTGAAATTGTGTCACACACCCATGAAATATTAGTTGTATTGTCAACGAGATCCTCCATTCATAAATCACACCCGCCCTTCTTCACTTTTACCTTCTTTACAATATCTTTTGTGCTCCACTTTTCCCTGGCAGAACAGCAAAAGTATGCATCAAATATTATGAGCACAAAAGTGAAACTCACAGAAAAATTCAGTCTCATTTGCGAAGGAAAAAAGAAGATTCAGAATCGATTCAGATTTCTCAAAACTTTTTTCGATTACTAAACTTTCCGTTCATAATAATAAGAACGATAAAAGAGTTTCTACCTCACATTCGAATACGAGAAATATCTTAAGTCAAATTCAGATAAAACCTTGGTTTTATGTTATTTTACGAACAACATAAATTTCCAGTGAACCACAAAAGCTAAAAAGCAGGTATTTTAGCTAAAATTTTTATCTCATTGCCACTGCAATTGCTTGTGCCCACACTAAATGGCTCAGATCTTAGGGAAAAAAACGCTTAAGAAATCGACTTTTTTATCTCAATTTTGCGATCGTAGCATTTTCTGTTCGCTAAGTTATGGAGCAAAATAACTATAATTTATAGAAATCCTATTTTGAACTTGTGACCATGATATTCGGAATGTCTTATGTTGCGTCAATCGACAAGTTGGATGCTGTTAAATTGGCAAATTTATAGGGGTTGGTCTGGTTTTGCAAACCTAAAGTGTAGCAACTATGATAAATGTGCTGAGAATCTCCGAAATATGAATCAGAACTCCTTGAAGATTTTCCCATTTCCAATCCTTCATCAAAACCCCTGTGAATCCTGGCCAGAAAGCTATGAAATTTTAATTAGCAATTATACACGCATAGCCAGTGAGCGACCGCCGCTCTCTCGTCCTTCCACCACGATTAGCATTCTGGACAGAGGGCGGCCCATCGTGCTAATTTGGGCAGGATTCAGCCATTCAAAGCATCCAATACCGGAGGCATGGATTAAAGAAATATCGCCCGTGTGACCTTTTCGCCATCATCTTGGCCTTTGCGTGGAAAATATCTGGGCTCCTCTTATTAAGGATATATCCACCCATAATGGTTGAAACAAATAATCGTAAAACAAGTTTATGTTTACAAGGAATCTCATTAATTTCCCAGTATATTCTAATCCCGTCCACCCATCCATTTCATCCTCCTCTTTTGCTCCCCCTTTTGCACCCTTATTATGCTTTTTTTTCACCCACAAGCAGGGGGAAAATTAAGGGTCGATGAATCAAAAGCGAATTAATGTTGAAGGGAAAAATTCTCAAAAGAAAGTGTTCTTCAATCTTCTTGGCATGAAAATAAAAAGGCAGTTCAATGGAAGGATTTTTAACAAGACACGCAAGTGATTTATGTGCTTCACTCTCTCAGCCACGATAGCCACTTTGTTCATTTCATTCACTGACTTCAGCATTAAGTGGCTCATTTGAGATACTCTCATATCACGAGTGGTGACAATTGCATTAGCATTAATGAATTGTTGTGTGTATTTCACAGTGGAAAAAAATCAGAATATGGCAAATAAGTTGTATGGATTAAAATGCATGCATTTCATTAAGTCGCATCGCCATTCTGTCGCCAAACATGAAAGTCATAGAGCCGCGCATCTTCCAATTCATCAAAATTCACTGGCATCTCAAGTAAATTTGCCTTTTAAAGGTACGACTTAACTTTTTACAAATCCTCTCTGTGCAATCTTTTCAGCATGCAAATTTCGTGGACAAATAAGGAGGAATTTATACCGTCAAATTATTTATTTCGTATACATGTGTATTCAGTGAGAGAAGAAAAGACTATTTTTAGACAAAACTCATCCCGACTTCGCACTTTTGTATTCCAATCAGCTCAGAAGAAAGAAATATGTACTGATGAGAACATTGCAATGCGACAGAGGAGAAAAAATTAATTGTGCTCACTTAAAGGAAAACATATTGATAACGCGTGTTAGCCATTGATCACAATGCAGGAGAGTGGGTTTATTCTGGAAAAACCTGCTTAAACATTCAAGATTCCATCGAAAACACCGATTTTTCTATGAAAGACTAAAAATAAAAATAGATAGCAAAAAATCACGAATTTCATTGCATATTGCCGGATTTGGCATTAAATGAAGCGATTCCCACTCAAACAATGTATGTTAAAAATGTGTTATATTTGTTTAAAACAGTCTTTCCTATTCTGTGCGTCTTAAAAAATTCACATGTGCTTAAAATTTCACCCCTTGTGATATTTGCTATTCTGGCTCACACGTGTTAAACCAATTTGTACCGTCTGAATGTGTAATTTTAAAACGACCTTCAGGGGTTGTTTAAATTTTTCAAGCATGAACATGAAAAATATTTGCAATTAAGTCTTTTTATCATGGATTCCTACTTGGATTTAAATAATTTTGGCCAATTTCATCTTTTTCTTCTCTATTATTTAATGTGGAATCGATTAAAACTCTCTAACGCTGTTTTAGCGAAAATAGCAAGGACTGTTTTTGCTTATTCATTCATAGATTAAACTTTTACGTGTTTGAATCTTTAACATTCTTCAGTTTCAGTGGAAATCTCTCTGATTTAAAAAAAATGTCAGAGAAGAGTGAATTTTTCAAATAGATCTATTTTTGTTTTATTGGTTTCGATTTGCTGGTGCTATTTACTTTCAACTCACTGTATTCTCATTCATCCAGCGTATTCTGGACATTAAAGGAATTGCTTCTCAGTCTTTTCATGCCCAATGACAAGAGTGGAAATTGCAAATTCAAGTGCGAACAGCAAAACTGATATGATCGCGATTTTGTGGCAATTTTTGGGGCGTGTTCCATCGAGTCTCCGAGAAATTTTCGTGCATTCTGAGACCTTCTGATTTTCAGTCCAGAAGGTCCGAATTGGAAGGTAAATTGTCTGATTTGCCGTGGCGAGAAAAATTCTCCGGCGAGCAGTTGAATAGTTGCGGAGAAATAAAATATATAGCATTTATTTCATTTTAATGTTTTTCTCCATTATGCTAAATATGGCACAGATTGACTGGCCTTCAAGTTATCACACGTCTATTGGAATCACTCATGAGAGTGTTATTGAAAATGTTGAAGAAAAAATGACTCGCGCTGCGGCGAGAGCGCCTCATGATGTGTGGCCGGAATCCCGCCAATTGCCCAGGAATCCCCAACTGGCCCATCTAAAAATACAACTCCTGCACTCCTCGCGTGCCTTTTGGCCTCAACGTGACAAAATTGTGGCGCGTCTTGTAAATTCATTTAAAGGCAAATTAAAATGCTTAACACACTTTGTGTGTCTCACTCACTTTTGCTATGTAAATAAATGGAGAGGCTCGCGAGACTCGAGAGAGGCTGCGATGAGGAGCCGCGCCAACACACACTCGCACTCTCGAGGCTCTGGGCATCATTGACAAATCGCCGATGGAGAGAGAGTGTGGCCAGAGATGAGAGGTGTTGCTGACCAGCCCCATCCTCGTCATTCCGGGAAGACCCGCATCCTCCTCTCTTCCCAGCTAATCACTGTCTATCGATCGGCGCGATTATCTCAAGTTGGGGATTCTGGGTGTCACTCTCTCGTGCGCTCTCTCGCTCTGCGAGGGCGGCGTCGCAGCCACACACACAAGACGAGACTCTCAGGGGCGAGACACTCCCGGATCTGGACAGCGAAAAAAACTGACCCCCACCGGGGAGTCCTCAAATCTTATCACCGCACTATTTCCCTCCTCCATCTATCTCTCTCTCTCTTTCCCTCTCTCTCTCTCTCCTGCACACGTCCTCCGGACTCACCCAGCCACTTTGACTTCTGCTCACTGTGAAATTGCACTGAAAACTGGTGCGGCAATCCAACCAGTGCTGCCCCGAGTGCTCCCCGCTACGCAAACTGACAAAATCATCGTGACTTTGGAGCCAAAGCCACATACGAAATCGCCACGAAGCGCACTTTCCCACGCCCGACACAGAATTTCACCACTTTCGCTCCATCTTCGTGGACTCACCACCCCACATAACCTCAACGTGTGCTCCCGGGGCGCCACCTGTGGTGGCGGGAGAGCCATCCAACCCACACGCGAAGTCACACAATAAAAGCCTCTTTTGGAAGATTAAATAGGGCAATAATTTAATTCCTGCAGCAGTCTTGAGCAACTCTAGTGACTTAGATGGGCAGTGAGATCAGAATTCTGTGACTATGTCACCATCTTCGTGCCTCCGGATGGGATCTCCCTTCAGCATCGCCATAATCATGCTGCAAAATGAAGATTGTGGCATTTAAAACAAGATTTAAAAGCAGAATGTAGCCCTGAAGCCACTCTCTCAGCTCCTACCAGTAGAGATAGATGAAGAAAGCCATGAGATAGAAGACGAGATTGATCATACAATCTCTCAAGTGTTTCTGCACCATTCCTCTGTTGTGAATCTCCGTTGGATCATAGATACCCATATTTCCGCTGGGTATCCTTGCAATCTCGTAGATGATCCACGTAACAAGCGGGAAATTGAAGAAAACCAGCCACCAGTGCCCATTAATAATCAGAAAGATGACGAGGAAGACGTGCGCTCCAGCACGAGGAAGAACCCAGAAATTTAACTTTGAGCAGCACTGTTGAGCATTAAGGTAGTCACACTCGAGATCCGAGAGGATTATCACCTGAAAAGATACCAATGGATGCGGCAAATTAGAAGAAAACGCCCCAACAATATCCTACTTTAGAATATTTTTCAACTTACATAGTAAACGAGGACAAACAGCACGAATCCCGTGTCGAAGAGAGCAAAAGCAAACAACAGAGTTTCTGGTATCATCCTTCTGAGCTTGCGTTGAGGATAAAATGAGTATTTTTTCTTGTGTGAATTGAGGAAAATCTATTTTTCTCTCATGACTCCCGGACCTTCCCGGACAAACGCGCACCTATGACAATCGCGAGAGGGGAAATCGATGCTTTGCTAACTTCATTCGGATTTATTTGAAAATTCAACGAGAATACAAGAGATTCAGAAGACTTGTGATTCTAAATGCGAAGATATAAATTAATTCATATGGTGGAACATTCCAATTTTTCAAATATTAGATGCATTAGATGTGAGGACTAGAAAGGGAGCGCATTATAGTGTCAGGATCGAGATAAAATGTGCTCAAGCCTCCAAAAACGATGGTTTTGTGTCTTTGGCACACTTCAGAATGGAGTACATAAACTTAACAAAACCAGTGTCTTTGGGCTTCTCTAATCCCCGTTGAAGCCGATTTTTCATCACACCAATGAATTCTCGATTGCTCAGTTGTCCATCGACTGCAAGACGAGGAAAAAGTCAGGCAAGAAAGTCTCAACTTCCCTGGAAAATATACTCACGGTTCTCATCGAAAATCGTAAAGACCACCTCTATCACATGATCAGACAACTCCACGTGCGCCACAGTCCTGGCCACATGCTTCAGCGTGCTATGGTCGATGGCCGCTCCTGCGATGTGGTAGAAAGTCAGCGCCGTGTCCACATCGTTGATGTTATTGAGAAAGTGGAAGAAATCGAGATAATCGTCCTTCGAGATTCCCTGACTCTCGTCTTTGTAGCGCTTCTTCACCAACTTCATCTTCTTGGCCTTCTTCTTCTGCGTGTAGCCCGCATAAGCCAGCATCAGTTCGGCAAATTCCACCTCAGAAATTCTGCCATTCTCATCTGGATTCTTCCGTGTGAACTCAAGTGTGAGAATTTCCCGCTGAAGCTGCTTCTGGAAGTCCAGAAATTTCTCAATTGTCAGCTTCTGGTCCATCTTCGGGCCGAAGAAATACGTCGTGAGAGCAGAATTTACGCCCTTGAAGGTATTTCCAGTATTGGCGTGATCCCTGTGGCGATTGCCAATGCTTGTCTGTTGCCTGATCAGCGTGGCGACCTTCTCGAACTCCTCACAATCAACATCACCATCGCCATTGAGGTCAAACATCTGGAAGGCAATCTCAAAGTGTCTCCGAGAAGCTGAAATGATAATACCAAGAGATAAATCGGTGGTTTCATAAGCAAAAGTCGTTTACTTTATATACAAATTTCTAAATTCCAATAAATGTGATGAGAAATAGGGAAAAATTCCACTGTAAGACATTTTCAAATTTCTCAAGGACCTTAGAAAAATTAATCTTAGGGAATTAAAACTATTTTAAAAATGTGTCTCCAAAAAATCTGGAGACATCTTATACCTAATAACGCGCTGACGATACAAATTGAAAATTGAATTGGGTTCAAATAAATTTCACAGATTTTCGCCTAAATCATGTGAAACAATCTTTGTTTATGGAACTGACGAACTGTTGCTTCCTCGGGAAGCATCGCTTCGCACCCTCGCGCTCGCATCCGCAGGTAATTCAATGCGATAAGGAATGATGAGCAATGGAAATTCACCACAATTCCCCAAGTCACGAGACGGGTAATTGAAAAATTACAAATTTATAGCGGCACGCTGAATCATTTTGCGCCCCGGGACGATGGTAGAGGTGCACCGCACAATTGAATAAATATGTAATTGGACGCGGCCGGGAGGCTCTCGCGTAACCGCATGCACGCCAGCAATCCTTGGGTGGGGGCCGAAGGAGCAGCGTGAATCTCCAACCACCCTCCTGTTGGACGTCCCTGTGCGCAGGACAAATCGATAAGGACCGTACATTTTTTCCTCTCCCATTCAGATACCAGTGTTTTTGGGAGTGACAACAACTTCCGTTTTATCTTCTTCATTTTTTTCGTTATCTCTTTACAAACAGCCAAAATTCCACGCATTTCCACAACCTCCCCGAAAAGCCATCGCGCGACAGAACGTAGCGAAAGTTTAGGGTGAAAAATCAAATTCACGTGTGCAATTTTATTGCATTTTTCAAAAGTCTTCTTTCTCTCCTTCGGCGCCTCTTCAATCTCACACTTCCCTTCCCTACTTTCTCAGTGTTTCCAGTGCAATTTGTGCCAATAACTAATTATTTCCATGCAATACTACTTCTTGACGCTTTAACCGAGGTGCTTCATATTTTAAGCGAATTTAACCAGAATTTACTCAATCCTCCATTTCTTTCGCCAAGTAATCGTTGCGAGATTCATTGTGCCAAAAAGAAACGAAGCTCCACTGTCAGCAATGAGATGCGGAAAGCCAATGAATTCTGTCGAATTGTGAGATAAAAGATTTGAACAATCCAAGAGTAGTCACGAAGAAATGATGAATGAAGAGCACCGAGATGAGGCCTATTCAGACAGTGAATGTGAAGAATCGCACGAAGCGATCGATGCTCAAGAGACGTTTTGTCCTATGTCTCAAAGTCCTCTTGGCCATCACCGTGTTCAGCCTCTACGTGGCCGTGCTGCTGCGCGAATCCCTCCAAGCCATGGAGGACAGCAAGGCCAAGACGACCTCATGGATCACTAAGACTTCCCATCGAAGCAATGGAAAGATTCTCATTCGTCATGTCTGGAGAAATTCCACGAATCACACGAAACCAGCCCAGCCAACAAAGCCCACCACACTCAATCCCATCTACGAATATTCCGAAGAGGTCAACGCAGCGGCCGAGAAGGATTTCACAGACAGGAAGAATCTCCTCTGGGACACGTGCATCAGGAGAGGAATGGTGGGCGTTTATCCACCGAATGCCTGGGAGTTCTTCATCTCCTCTGGACACGGATTGGCGTGGTGCAATGTCTTCAAGGCAGCCAGCAGCTCATGGATGTACTACTTCAACATTCTCGGTAAGAATTCAAAGACGTAATGGACCTTAAAATCTAGGATCTGAATGCCCTCTTCTTTTCATAAGATTTCCTCATATTTATCCTCCCTGATGTTATTTTAGTCGATTTTGCGAGATTCAATTTTTTGTAGGATCACAGATAGAGCTAATGTTTCTCTTTTCCTCGTTTCACCCCATAACTTACACGGTAATTACTGAGATTATGGCAGGAGCAATTATGCTCAGACACCATGTTTTATACGACATCCCAACTCCATTCTGGAGTGAAAACACAATTTTGGCACTTGTCCAGGAGTCACACGTGAAACAGACCTGCTGACAGGGTGATTGAAATCATTTAACAGGTGGCTACAATCTGGCATATCTGCAGAGGACAAAAACATCCCCCCTCGAGTTGGCTCGCCAGCGCTTTCCACGACCAACATTGCCCGAACTTGCTGACGCTCTCGCCAATTCGATATCCTTCCTCATCGTGCGTGAGCCCTTTGAGCGCCTCTTGTCGGCTTACAGGAACAAAATCGAGGGCTTTCGCAACAAGTACTACAAGTTCTTGGCTGAGCAAATCGTGCGCAAATACCGGAAGACACCCAAGACGAAGGACACATCAGGACCAACATTCAAGGAGTTTCTCACCTATCTCATCCATCACAGCAAATCCGGCGGACGCTTCGACGAGCACTGGAGTCCCATTTACAGCTTTTGCACCCCGTGCAGCATCAATTACACCCTCATCGCCAAAGTGGAGACCTTTCAGCGTGACACCGAGTATATCATTAGACAAGCAGGACTGGAGTCGCTGCTGCTCAACAAATTACCCAATAAGAAGGTACGCGCCATATCCAATCGCTCAACCAGCGACACACGCCGCCTCATCCCCAAATACTTTGGCCAAATTGACGCCCAAACCCTGGACCAAATACTTGAAATCTACGAACCAGACTTTGAACTCTTTGGATACAATTTCACAAAGTACTATGAACTCATTGAGCAAGTTTGAGAGATTCACATATTTTTCCACTCTCTCTCTCTCTTTCTCTCTCCCCACCCATTTTATCCTCATGGAAACTATCAATAGGCATAAATATGTAGGCAATATAGTAATCTACACTGGCACTAACAAACTAACACAACAGACAAGATAAATGGTGTGGTGGAGTAGTAAAAAAGAAGTGCACATTAATACGTAAAGTGATTGTAGTTTAGGAATATATATGAAATTTTCTGTGGAATTCTGGGAAAATATATTTCAGCGGTATATTCAGGCCCACCGAAATCCACCAAGATAAAAGAAAAAACCCTCAAACAAATAGTAAAGAAACAATATTTTAATAAATATTAGTAAAACCACGTCCCAGAATTCCACTTCTAGTTTTGCACACAATTTCAATAGAGAAGAAGAAATATATATAACTGCAATTTATTTTCTAAAATAATTTCCCAATAATGCATGAATCTAACATTTACGTTTTTGATGTAATCTCTCGTGCATGATACCAAAAAAAAACGATTTAACTTCGGAAGGACAATCTTTACGTAAATGGATAAAGTAAATTATTGAATCGATATATTTTAACATTTTTTCTCCAGCCTAAATTTAATGAAAAAAAAAATTTGACGGAAAATTTGTGTATATTGTATGTGAAATTTGGAAACTTCGTGCATTGTCTAAAGAAAAATTTAAAAAGTGTATTTTTACAAAGAAAAAAAAATCTAAGAATATGGAAACATGAGAATTTGGAATGGATGAAATTTTGCCAAAAACCCAAAAAGGAACAAAAATATGATAAAAGAAAATTATTCGATGTATTTAACTGTTTTATCGAAACAAAAAATATATATTATATTAACTGTGGTGTTGTCAAGATGTACCTTAACTCTTATATAAATTGTATTATTCTATATATTATATATTTTAAACTATTGTCAGACTGAATAAAAATTCGTTTAACGAGGAATAAAGTGTCCTACTCACTTGAGAGCACCGTCAAGAGGAAGATGTAGTCCGAGAAGGAGATCAATCCGTAAGAGCCGAGCTTGTAGAAGATCGACGTCTGCTCGAGAGATAAATCCAGGCGTTCCGTGACAGACTGAAAAAGGCACAAAACGGACAAGTGACAGTGAGGAAACTCAAGACAGAAAGCTGAGTGTCCTAAAGCCACTTAAGAAAATTTGGAAGAGAGAAAAGAGGAAGTTTGGTTGCATGCCGTATTTTGTAATGGTATAATTTTGAAAGGTGAAATTCTACATGCAATTGTGATCATTTCCTTACAAGAAGCCAATTTACACACACTGTGCATCACTTCTCTAAGGTTTAAGACATTGAAAATCATGCCACATAATTATTTTATTCACAAAACAATCCATTGCTTCACAGAAATACAGAAAAATGAGGTATTTTTTGTACAAAATGTGATAAAAGAACTTTTGAGAAAAAATGAGTGTCCAAATTGCAATGTCAATTTTTGTAGACAAAAAATGAAAGAATATTTGGGAAAGAGAGAAAAAGACTTAAAAAATTAGTTTCTCATCGGCTAGTTAAGGAAAAAGGCCTCAACAAGATACCTCTTCAAAGGTCTGAAAGTGAAGAAGTGATTTTTATGTGTTAAAATACTTGCATTTAGTTTCACATTTCATATAGACAGGAATAAATTTCATTAATTAAACTGATTTAAAAAAAATATATACACACAGGTTAAATAAGCAAAAGTTTCACGTTAAACATATCATCAGAGGGTTTAGCAATTGATTCCTAAACCACAATGATTTTAAAGCAACATTTTAGAGTTGATTTTCAACAAAAACATACACAAAACATCTTTTTTTCGTGAAATAAGGAATTAATAAATATCGAATATAAGAACTAAGGAATAATTAAACGTTGGACGATTATTCCAAGCGTAGGAAAGATAGGATTTCAATTAAAGCTTTCTTACCTTTGGATCATATCGACGATACTGATCAAGACCCAGACCTAAAAGTACATTTCAATTGAAATCTGTGTCGCTAAAAGGAATCTCTTTTTTTTCATCGTTAAGTAAATTCAGGACGAAAGCAAAAAAGGCCAAAATTGCTGAACACAAAAGATGATTAGATATTGGATTTAGGTACCCTCAGGCTGCTTCACTCCCGGTGTCATGCTAGTCAAGAAATCTATCGGGGTCATAAACACCTCGTACTCTCCATGTCCGCCCAGGGGCACCTGGACTGTGGCAAAGTAGCGGAACACCTTGTCCGGAGTGGAGAATTGCCTGATTCTGTTCTCATACTCGATGATCTGGGTTAGTAAAGTGATTAGAGACAACATTTTACACACATTTTGAAAGACAACACAGCATGAAATTAGTGATTATAGCAGCGCCTAGCATGGATTAATCTCATCTACTTCCTAAATCTACGCCTTCACCGCGGGATTAGTGTCGCTGTCTACTTGGCCAATAAGAAAACCTCTTTACCGTCAGGCTGCTTCATTCCTGGCGTGAGCGATCGCAGAAAATCATAAGGCGTCATAAAGACCTCCGTCGTTTCGCCGGAAACAATTCGAATGGTGGCAAAGTAGCGAAATATCTTATCTGGCGTCGAATAAGTTCTGATTCGATTTTCATACTCTATAATCTGTCAACTAAACATTATTTCAATCTACCCTTGTCTGCCCAACCATAATCTCTAAATCACCTTTCTATCGCGAAACCCTATTTTCTCCTTCTTCTTCTTCTCCGGACTCTTCTCGTCATCCTCACTCTCAGACACCTCCGAGTCACTCTTCTCACTCTCAGCCGAAGATGAATCCTTTTCAACGCCAGTGTCAGCATCGACTTTCGGGAAAATCATCTTCTTAATCCTGAAATGAAGGAGAAAATTATTTTCACTTACTTCTTCTTCCGCCCCCAAAACACTACTCAAATATACCCTTTGTAGTTGAGCATCGATAAAAGTGTTCCCAGTCCGACCATCAAGTAGAAGAACTTTGTGAATGTGGGCACGACTTCTGGCTTGTGGCCAAAGTCCTTGTACTCCCTGCTTTGCTGGAAGCTGACTGCGGAATTCTTGGACATGCGAAAAGCACATTGTTGACTGAGAACTTTCGCCGGCTGCCCATACAGTCGATTACTCAGCACCGTCCTGAGCACAAGAGTGCCAAATTTGAGGGATGACATTGGGGAAATCTGCTGATAAATCAATTTTTCAGTAAGCTTTGCCAAGAGACGTCCTCTGATTGAGGTTATTGTATGGAATATTCAGTTATCCCTACAGAAGTGTAATATTGTTCGGAAATTTAATTGAAATACCAAAATACACACTCTCACTTACAGTCTAATGTACTTTTCCAAGCAGACACGAGCGATTTTCCGCCCTAAAACCGCAATTCCCTTATCAGTGAAAAAGTCAAAACATCAAATTCAACACCCACCGTCACTACCACAAGTTTCCGCCAGAGGCGCTGTGCGCGAGTGGTGAATAAAATCAGATGTCAATTTTGCAAGACAATAGAGAAGTTTTGCGTGAGTGAAATGTGAATTTTGCTACTGAAATATCGTGCTGATCGTGTGAGAAAGTTCGTGTTGACTGTGAATATGGTTGAACCAATATTCCAATATCAGTTTAGGTTTATTTTGATTGGCGACAGCACCGTGGGAAAGTCATCACTGCTGAAATTCTTCACAGACGGACGATTTGCTGAGGTTTGATCGCCCCATCTTTTCATTGTTTTCTTTTGCACTCCGTGGGAATATTTTGCACACAATTCCTGCTTATATTCTTTGGCACTCTCACTCGACCCGAGGGAAGTGCATACTCGATGAGTGTGCTTTCTCCTAGAGTGGCATTCAATGCACATTCTCACTGTCAAGGCGAAAACCACAGAGTCACGCAAAGTGCGTAGTTTAAGCTTCCTTATTGTTTTCTTGGCTCTTCTCGCAGCTCTCGGATCCCACAGTGGGTGTGGACTTCTTTGCCCGACTCATCGAAGTGCAGGATGGCACGAAGATCAAGCTTCAGCTGTGGGACACGGGTAAGAGGCTTCTCAACCTTCGATAGAGCGCAAGTCAGTGACTAATGCAAATTCCCTCCCCACGCAGCGGGCCAGGAGAGATTCCGCTCAATCACAAAGTCGTACTACAGGAACTCCGTGGGCGTGCTGCTCGTGTACGACATCACGAACCACGAGAGTTTCGAGCACCTGCCGCTGTGGATGATGGAGGCGAAGCGCCACATAGAGCCCCATCGGCCGGTGTTCGCGCTGGTGGGCTGCAAGCTGGATCTAGTCAATAGCGGTGGGCGGCGCGAGGTGAGCGTCCAGGAGGCGAAGTCCTTTGCCAAGCAGCACGGCCTGGGCGGCTTCGTGGAGACCAGCGCGCGCACGGGCGTCAATGTGCTGGAGGCGTTCAGCATGGTGACTCAGGAGGTGTACAATCGCATCCAGAGCGGCGAGTACACGGTGGAGGACGGCTGGGACGGCATTAAGACGGGCTTCGCCAAGACCAACAGCCTCGACTTCAATCTCGTCATGGGCGAACCGGCCAAGAGTTCGTGCTGTTGACTTGGCGCTCGCCAATCAACTTTGGGATACATTTTTAGATGTAATGTTTTATGCTAAATACAACCCTGTCTCACGAGAGAACGTTCAGTAGAAATAGGGCGAAACCGAATAGAACAAGTAAAACCCCGAATTTACAGTCCCTTCTTCCTCAATTGCTGTCATATTTTCCTCCTAATTTGTAAATAAAATCATGCCTAATTTGATCTTTATTTGTAAAGATTTTTTTTGTTGTAGAGATTGCAATTTTATTGTTTTTATTAAAATTATAAAGGAACAATTTTTTTCTTTTACTTTTACGGCTGTCTAACATTTTATTTTCTTTTTATTTTACTCATAATTTCATCATCACATACAAGGAAAAATGACCTTTCTGATTTCCGCGCTGAAAAAAGGTCCACAAAATACTCTTTCACAAGTAAAATGCAATAAACACTCAGAAACATCTTAGTATTCTTGAAGTTCCTCGACGATTTGTGCATTAATTCACTGTACAACAAATGTTTTATTAACACTGAGATAGATAAGTTGAAAAAGAGTGAAGAACAATTAATTGTGATTATTGAAATTTCATCAAAACTCATCTTCATGTGGGTAGGAAAATCGCCTTTTTCCGAAATTATGCTCAGTCTTCACATTAGTGCACATTGTTGTACAGTGTTTATTGAAGAACTTATCGCGCGCGCCTCTCATTTTATCAAATCCACACAAAATTCCCTCTTTCTCTCTCTCTTTGCCTTATCAGCTCGTCATTTGCAAGATGAGAGGCAGTCAGAAAATCCGAATGGCCACAGCAAGAGAGTCACTTAAATGATAATCTTCTTGCGATTGAGTTCAAGTTGAACGGTTGAGAAGATTTGCAAAATGAGGAATTTCTTATTGATGAAGGCCTTGAGAAAATTGGGCACAGACGCCTGGAATAGGTCAGCACAGAAGCGTGGATTGTTCTTCGCCTCTGGTATGAGATAATCCCAAATCTCTGACATTTTGCACCCATTGCTCGTGTACAGGAAGCAATCCTTCCGCGCCAGGATCACATACTGCACCTTCAGCTTGGCCAATTCATTGTAGATCTCCACGGATTGCTGCTTCCCATAAATCCCATACACGATCCTCGTGCGCTCCTTCATGTCCTGAAACTCCGTGTGCGGATGATTGACAATGGGACGTTTCGTGGCCACCAGAACCATTGGTGTGATGTCCATCGGCCCGGCGAACACCGCATTTGTCTCCGTATTGTGATTAATCCACTCCAGCAGCTCCTCCAGCTCGTAGTTGTCCGGATTCGCCGGACTGTACTGCCCCTGCATGTTCCTCAAGCCCGGATACACGATGCTGCTGAGCAACGGGATGAGCGTGAGCGCCCAGTAGATGCGTATTGTGCCGTCGAAGAACCACCGACGAGGTGGCAATGTGGCAGCGTTGAGGCAGATGAAGGGCGTGAGGATGAACTTCAGTTTGGCCACAGCCAGAGCGAAGTAGAGGAAGAAGAGCGCCTGCAGCAAGTTGTACAGGCAGAATGTCTCCAACTGTGTGGTGGAAGGCTTCGGTGGCTGAACTGGATCTGTCTTCTCCTCCGGCGTCTTGCGCTTCGCTCCCGACGACTTCTTCGCTTCACCGGAAGCCTTCTTCCCTTCGCTCTTCAATTTCTCCACATCCCAGAGGAACTTGTTCCTCTCCTCACTCTTTGGCTTAATTTTCGCCTTCTCAATCTTGTACCTCTCATAATCATAGTCACACTTCTCCAGCAAATCCAGACAACTCTTCAATTCCGCCGTGGTTTTGGGATTTGACAAATTCTGCAGCGTCACGAGATTCTCCTCCATGAAGTCCTCCGTGACATAGTTCTTCGCCCGTTCAATTGCCTCCGCTTCCAGACGTCGATTCCGCCTCCTGCCCAGACACAGCTTCACGGCGCACAGCATGAGCAGCACGGGGACAATCTTGGGCGCAAATACAGTAATATACTGTACAATTGTGTCTGTGTCCAGGAAAGCATATGAGGAGTTGCAGAGATACAGCAACTCCACCAGATTCGGCAACTTCAGGCCGAACTTGGTGAGGAAGAGATTGATAAAGTGTCCATTAATGTCCTCACTCGCATCCTTGCGCGACGATACACTCATCCGATCCGTGATGTCGGACACAAAATACGTGATGCTGATGAAGAAGCACAGATCGTGCAGAAATCTCTTCGGTCGACTCATTTGCACCTCACCGCGTTCCATGTTGCGGAATAGTAGGAAGAAGATCAGCGCCACAATGAGGGAATGATTGATGGAGAGGAAGAAGTAGCGATTGCCAAACATGGCGTAGTAGCAGGAAATGTTGGCCAGAACATGTGCCAGTGCATAGTTCAGGACAAACTCCTGCGGCAACCACTCGAGTTCCACCATCACGAAGATCACGATAGTCTGCGTGGCGAAGATTGCGGCCGAAAATTGCCAGCACATGTGAGCAGCCGCCGTAAGGAGCGCCAACTTAATGATCTGCAAGAACATCAAGATATAAATACATCCCACGCCTAAACTAAGAACACAATTGCCCAACCATTATGTAATTCTGCGTGAGAATCTTCGTGGCATTCCACTTGAAGGTCTTTATGCTGAGCCTCGCGATGCACATTGTGAGGTAGAACATTTGCCACACGATAAACAGAATGGCAAAATTCTCCCTGGCCAGCGGGAATTCCGCCACTCTGCTGGCATTCTCGTGGAGGACAAAATAGTAGATCACTGTGGCGATGCCGCTAAACACGTGATTGCTCATGTACGTCCCGAAGAGGTACAGAAAGAAGACCGTGAGTCCCGCCGTCCACCAGATGAACTCCAAATAGAAGTGGACAGGCTCTTCCAGGCCTTCGCAATTCATATGCGGTGTCATCTCGTGACTCCTCAGCGATGTCCAGCACGTCTTAGAAGAGCCCGCGCCACCCATATAAGCTGTGATATTGAGGTACTGCTTGTAAAGAAATCTGGAAGCGACAATCATTCAGTCTTGCGCAAAATATACTTCAGCCACATTCTTACGCTGCCAGGATCTCCGGATATATATGGAACTTGTGGATGGAGTTTATAGTGCTGGGATACTCCGTCAGGTTGTCGTGGATAAGCTTCTCAAGGCCTCCGGCGAAGGATTTCGCCTCCGCGAGTCTCTTGTAGAAGGAATAATACAGCCCATGTTCAGATGTGAAAAGAGCCTCTCGCTCGAGTTTCGACAGATGACTAAAGTTGGTCTTCACCTCAAACACCGTCCGGACATGGTAGATTTGCAGGAAGAACAATCCCATGCCTGGAAAATGGGAAAAGTTTGAGTAAATAGAGAAGCAAAAGCGGCTTTTGAGGTTATCCTGCTCTCTTCACTGTTTTTCACACGCAAATCCTTACCGATGAAGGTGTGAGAGAGTATCACAAGAATCTGAACACGCTTATCTATGGTTTGTGCCATTTTTCACCCAATTTCTATGCACTCTTCTAGGGTTTTCAGCCAATTTTCCACCCAGCATCACTCCACCCTCGGTATTCACCACATATTCACCATCGCCACCGATACTCACCGCCTGTCAACAAAACAGCTGACGAGGATAGTTTTTTACGGCGACCGGAATGAAACACAAAAAGTGGCAAATCCGCAGCCAAATCCAGTGAAAAGAGTCGCAAAGTGCGCGTGGAACGTGGCAGATTAGCGGGTGGCACAGGAAGAGACACAGAATGTTGCTGTGGCGCTGGATTTTCCCCTTCTGCTGTGTCCTCGTGGCAGCGGAGGCTCGTCTGCTGGAGGGATTGTACTGCGGCAGAGAGAATTGCTATGATGTGCTCAATATCACGAGGGAGGCGACGAAGCAGGAGATATCCAAGTCCTACAGACAGCTGGCGAAGAAGTACCATCCGGATCTGCATCGCGGGGAGGCGGCTAAGAAGGAGGCCGAGGAGCAATTCAAAGCAATCGCCACGGCTTATGAGATTCTGCGGGATGACGGTTCTCGCGGAGACTACGACTACATGCTGGACAATCCACAGGAGTACTATGCCCACTACTATAGATACTATCGTCGCCGGGTGGCGCCCAAAGTGGACGTGCGACTGGTTCTGTTCGTGACAATCTCTGTGATCTCTCTGATTCAGTACTTTAGCTGGTGGCAGCGCTACGAATCCGCCATAAAGTACTTCATGACTGTGCCAAAGTACCGGCACAAGGCGCTGGAGATTGCACAGCAGCAGGAGACGGCGCGGATGAGCAAGAAAACGGGAAAGCAGCGCTTGTCGAAGACGGAGCAGAAAGAGGAGACGGATAAGCTGGTGAGGAAAATCATCGAGGAGAACATGGACATCCAAGGGGCCTACGCTAAGCCCAGCATTTGGGATGTTCTCTGGGTGCAACTTATCATCTCTCCGTACACAATCACCAAGTGGGTGGCCTGGAACGTACGCTGGTTCTGGAAGTTCATCCTCTTGCGGCAGCCGTACGGCGAGGAAGAGAAGTACTTCATCATCCGGAAGTACATGAAGATGGGCCAGCATAAGTTCAATGCCATTGAAGAGAGCACGAAGAGGGAGTACTTAGAGCTGGAACTGTGGAAGAAGGAGAACTTCAACCAGTGGAAATTCGAACAAGAAGAGGCGATGAAGAAGGAACTGGCCCAGAAGGCATCGTACAGATCAATCCGGCGATACATGAAGTCTCATGGGCCCGGCAGAATAACATTCGAAGACTAGTTCTCCATCGCATATCGTCAATCGTCCTCATTTTTTATACTTTGCACCTGTTTTCTATTTATAAACAAGGGTAAATGTTCTGGAAAAATGATAAAGAAAAACACTGTATTGTTGTGCGCGATTAGAATATTCAAAAACAAAACTCCCTCTCTCTGTCCTCTGACTGTCCGCCGACTTTCGGAGCCTGCGAGATGCGCGGAATTCCTCCGAGGTGGCAACCCTAAAATTGACGTGGCGCTTGACAGTTCATCTTGGCGATCTCGCTGTCCCAGTGCGGATCCCTCTCATTTTCATCAAATTCCACCCATTTTCCGTGAAAATTGCACGCCAAATTCAGCGCGAAAGCCTTCGGCATCACCCCATGCAGACGCCCAAACTGTGGATGAAGTTGTATTGTGCGGGGAAAGTGTGAAAAAGACTGCGTGAAAATGGCACTGAAGAAGGTGAAGGGAAACTTTGAGCGAATGTTTGATAAAAATCTGACCGACTTGGTCCGTGGGATTCGGAACAACAAAGATAATGAGGTAGATATTGTCGTCAATTCCCCTATTACATATCGTCAATAGATAGCCAATTGCGGGCGGCTCGGGGAAATATTGATTGTGGCTCACAATCTGTCAGTGGGATTCGCTCAGCTGGAACGGATTTACGGCACTTCTCGTGTCTCTTCCAGGCCAAATACATCGCGCAGTGCATCGAGGAGATCAAGCTGGAACTGAGGCAGGACAACATCAATGTGAAATGCAATGCAGTCTCCAAATTAACATATGTGAGTGTTGTGTTCAATGCAGAGTTGCGAATGTCCTAGATTCGGAGGAAGAGGATAAGAAGGATTTCTGTCTTTCGTTCTTTCTTCTCGTGTTGACTCAAGAAGAAAAGACAGCTTAATATTAATTGAGGCCTTTCTAGAGATTAGAATGGCGTGGAAAGGTAAACAGGGGTTATAAAGACCAAGTCGCGAAATGCTATTTAGAGGTCAATGACTCGTGGTGGGAATTTTTGCGGGAAAATATCTTGGCGACGATCGTAGTGACGAATGGCCTAAAACGCCTTTTTCAATTAAAATGACTCGAGCTTCTGATTTACATTTTAATTGATCTTCCCTTGTAAGACTTCAGCAAACAGAGTCGCAACAGTGACAAAAGAGCTTAACTAATGTTCAAATACAACTCTGAACCCGAAATGTTATCAATCGCAATTCAACTGTGAAATGTAACATAAGATGCCTGATAGAGAATATTCCACTCCGCAGATCCAGATGCTGGGCTATGACATTTCCTGGGCGGGCTTCAACATCATCGAAGTGATGAGCTCGTCCAAGTTTACTTGCAAGAGAGTCGGTTATCTGGCGGCCAGTCAGTGTTTCCATCCAGACAGCGAACTCCTGATGCTCACCACAAACATGGTGCGCAAGGATCTCAACTCGCAGAGTCAATATGACGCCGGCGTGGCGCTCAGTGGCCTTAGTTGCTTCATCTCGGCGGACTTGTCGCGCGATCTGGCCAATGATATCATGACACTGATGAGCTCCACGAAGCCCTACCTGCGCATGAAGGCCGTCCTCATGATGTACAAAGTGTTCCTGCGATACCCGGAGGCGCTGAAGCCCGCCTTTCCCAAGCTGAAGGAGAAGCTGGAGGATCCCGATCCGGGCGTCCAGTCGGCCGCCGTGAATGTCATTTGCGAGCTGGCGCGCAAGAATCCCAAGAATTATCTCTCACTGGCGCCCATCTTCTTCAAACTTATGACCACGTCCACGAACAATTGGATGCTGATTAAGATTATTAAATTAGTGAGTATTTTCTGCCATATTCTCTGTGTGACGACGCCTCGTCGGGGCAATTTTAATTGAAGAAATGTGACTCATAGTTTTCCAGCTTCACGACGATTGAGCCGGCAATCGGTAAAAGATTGACAAGACCACTCATTGATCTCATATCGAGGTGGTGTTTCTTAGCATATTTGCAGTGCTGTTTAAAGAGCTGAGATTTCTCGATCACAATGATTGATTGAAGAAATCCCAGCTCAACAAGCGAGCTGACGCTTATCTACATTCTTTAGCCTATTCTGTAGTTGAATCATTGCAGAGAATGGCTATTTTATCATACTCTCTTCTCCATTGCATTTACAGTTTGGCGCTCTGACACCCTTAGAACCGAGACTTGGTAAAAAGTTGATAGAGCCTCTAACGAATTTAATTCATAGGCAAGCATCAATTCATGTTTAATGTTCGCTTGTTACCTTTCTTTGCTTTTTGTTTGAATGCAGTCAAATATCTTTCTACTCCAACTAATTTGGATGTTCTTATCTCGACAGCACATCGGCAATGAGTCTTCTATATGAATGCATAAACACGGTGATAGCCGTGCTGATTAGCATAAGCAGTGGAATGCCAAATCACAGTGCTTCCATTCAGCTGTGCGTCCAGAAATTGAGGATTCTCATTGAAGATTCCGATCAGAATTGTAAGTAAAATTATGCGACCGAGAAGTGGCGTTGGAAATGACTTTCTCCTTTGCTTGCAGTGAAATACTTAGGCCTTCTGGCCATGTCCAAGATTCTCAAGACTCATCCGAAGAGTGTGCAGGCGCACAAGGATCTGATTTTGGCCTGTCTCGATGACAAGGATGAGTCAATTCGACTGCGCGCTCTGGATCTGCTGTACGGCATGGTGTCGAAGAAGAATCTCATGGAGATCGTGAAGCGCCTCCTGGGTCACATGGAGCGCGCCGAGGGCTCCACATACCGGGACGAGTTGCTGTACAAGGTGATTGAGATCTGCTCACAGGGCAGCTATCAGTATGTGACGAACTTCGAGTGGTATCTCACTGTGTTGGTGGAGTTGATTCAATTGGAGGCCAATTCGAAGCACGGCACTGTGATTGCCACGCAGTTGCTGGACGTGGCGATTCGCGTGCAGGCCGTGCGAGAGTTTGCCGTGACGGAGATGGCCAGCCTACTGAACACCTTCCCTGCCAATGCCGCCCACTGGGATGCCTCGAGTGGCACGATGAATGAGGTGCTGTACGCCGCCGGGTGGATTGTGGGCGAGTTCAGTGGTTTCCTCGTTGATCCGGAGGACACACTCAAATCTCTGCTCAAGCCACGCCAATTGCCGGACCACATTCAAGCCGTGTACATTCACAATGCCCTGAAACTCCTCACTAGAATGCTGGTACGCAGTCTGGATGAGGAGAATGTTCGTGAGATTGTGTGTTTGTGCAATCTGTTTGAGGAGAAAGTGACACACTTTGTCAGTTCAGGACATATTGAAGTGCAGGAACGCTCCAGCTCGGCACTCATTATGATTCAGATGCTGCGCGATGAGTTGAAGTCCGTGAATGGCACGGAGAGTGAAAGAGATCTGCTAGACGATTTGCCTGGACCGGAGAATGGTAATGTGTCCACGGGTATTCCACCAGCGGCTGCGCAACTCATTCGAGACTTTGCCAATCTCTTCACGGGGGATCTGAATCCGGTGGCGCCGAAGGCACAGAAGAAAGTGCCTCTGCCGGAGGGTTTGGACCTGCACAAGTGGATCAATTCGCCGCCAGAGCTGAGCAGTCCGTCGTCTGAGGGTGAGGACGACATGGGAGATTTGTTTGTGTCCAGTGCGGATCTCCAGTCTCGTGCCGAGCGCAAGAAGTACGTGGAGCCGACGGGAGAGGAGTTGGAGAAGATGCGCGAGGCTCGGAAGATGGAGCAAAACAATAATCCACACTATCTCAAGGGCTCCGCCAGGGATTCCCTGCCCATGAAATTGCGCAATGATGGCTGTGATGATATCCCAATTGCTGAGATTGCTCTCGATGTACCACTTACGGTTCATTGTAAGTTTGGCTCCCTCATTTCTATAGTGTGTCAGATTGATAAAAACTGTCGTTATCTTTTTAACTTTGCAGCCACAAAGAGATCGGATAAGTACTTGGTGGATGATCAGAAGACGGATAAGCAGAAGAAGAAGAAAAAGACGAAGAAGGGCGACAAGAAGAGTCACAAATCCAAGCATAAGATCAACTACTCATCATCGGGATCTGAGAGCGATGGTAATGAGGATCTCTTATCAATGGGAAGTTTATCGTGTTAATTGTTTGTTTATTTGGCAGAACCGCAACAAGTTCACGTGGTAAACACGCTGATTGAGATGCCAGAAGGTGCTTCGCTGTCTGAGGCTGAGGAGAACGATAAGAGCATGGATCCAAATGATCCACATCGCGCCCTGGACATTGATCTCGATGTGCCCAGTGCCAAGGAGGAGGAGGAAACTCACAAGAAGCGAGACGCGAAGAAGAAGACCACGAGTTTGGTCGTGTCGCACGAGGAAATTCCATCGGCGGCCGTCGTGAAGAAGGTGAAGAAGGAGAAGAAGAGTGAAAAGAGCCGAAAGAAGGAGCCGAAGAGCCACAGAAATGACGAGAGTCATGATCTGTTGGGCTTCACCAAGGAGTCTTCGTTGATTGAGGAGAAGACAAAGCGCAAGAAGAAGAAGGGTGATAAGGAGAAAAGTACTGAAAACTCAAAGAAGAAGCTCGACCTGAAGTTGGGCTATGAAGAAGCGGCCGGAATTTCCACGCCTAGCAAGGAATTTGCATAAGAATTTTTCTTAATCTCTGTTCCCTCTTTTCCAACCCTCCTTCCTCCCCAATTGATATAAATCAAAGAGATACGCGTCTATTAACTAAGAAGAAAAATATTGGATTAAATAAAAAAGAAAGCATTCACGTATTAATTCAACCAATCTCCTTTCTTTATTTCCATTGTGAACAAAATCTTGGCATGTAATGAGGAAGATGATGAGGAAGATTCAGGAGCAGCAGCAGCAGGAACCGCTGATGAGGTGCCGATGTGATTGGGGCGGAATTTCGGAAGTTGGTCAGTTGTGATGGCTGGTGCTCATGCGACTACTGGAGCTGGCGTTCATTCGGCTGCTGCTGAACATATTGCTGAGGCGCATGAATTCGTACGTGAGTGGCACATTGAGGCGCTCATCACGTCGCTTGTAGTACTCATTGAAGTCCAGCCTGATGCCGAACAGCTGCAGATTGTAGTCATTGGACGAGGCCAGCTCGTAGAGGAATTGCTTCACCGACGTCTCATAGTTCTGGCGAATGTGATCGAGACTCTTGTGGAACTTGGCCAAGTCAATCTGGAAGAATTTCTTCTCCTGATCGCGCTCCAGTCGCTTCTCCGTCGTCACACCGTACTGTCCCTTCTTCTCACTCACCATCACGTGCTTGTCGAAAGCCGTGCGCGCGTTCAGCTCACGGAAGCACACCTCGTAGAACTTGTCCTGCCACGCTTCCAGATTCATCATCTCGTGGAAGATCGTGTCCAGCTTGGCAAGCAAATTCTCACTCTTGGCATCCAGGAAGATACCATAGCGAATAGTCTCCAGGAAGTCACTGTGCGCCTCCAGGATGTCATCAATGTCCGTGGCCGTGCCGATTCTCTTGCTAAGCGCCGCCCACGAGCACTCAATCACCTCAAACAGGATGTAGTACTGAATCTCACTGATAAAGTGCATCATCTCCAGCGTGCACAAGTGCAATTTGTACGTAATGCTATTCATCTCTGTCCTCATGCTGCGGAATTGCTTGGCATTGCACATCTGCTCCTTCCACACCTTATACATCACCACGAACTCGATGCGCTTTGTGCGCCACAGCGGCTTGAAGATCATCTTGTACTTGGCCATACACGGCTCCAGCATTGTCGCCACTGGACCCTGAACGGTGTACTTGAGATAGAAAATATCCCAGCCCGTGTCGCCGTCGAATGGCTCCAGTATTTGCACCTCCAGGTGATTGAGAATGTCCGGATCATCGAACTGGGCATTTGTCATGCGAATTGTGGCATCCATGATGGCTGACAGATTATAGCAATGCACCTCCTTGGCCGGGCTGTCCAGTTGGCACTTGAGTGACTCCATGAGGAGACCAATGAAATCTCCCTGACCCATCAGCAGATAGTCTCTCATCGCCTTCAGATGATCTAGTAACTTGTGTGGCCCCGTAATGACCTGCAAGACCTTCTTGCTCGTGCTCAGGTAGAAGTTATCAATCTGCTGATGGAGTCTCGTGTCGCCAGAGGCAGAAAACAGACTCTCGATGCTCTCCTCGAAGCACAACTTCAAGTCCTCCCGACCACCAATGGCACCCTCATCATGACACACTTGGCGCAGAAAGTTGATTCCCTTCCCAATGACTAGGATCTTATTGGCAAGATTCGTGCTGATAAATGTCGGCAGTTGACTCTCACGCACACGATACTTCTCATGCCACAGTCGATCGTTCGACACATCGTGCAGCGTCTCAATGAAGAACTCCCCATAGGGATCCTCCACCTCGCCATTCAGCAGCCATTGCAAAAGCATGTGGCGCAGCGGCAGACACATTGCCTGCAGCAGCACATCCGCGAAGCTCTTCATCTGCCGATCGCCGTGACTCAGGAAGCTGTGAATGGCACTAATGAGCGTTCCACCCTTGCGATCAACGCACTTCTCCAGCATCTTCATAAGACAGCTGAGACGATGTTGTGGCGTCATCACCCACATCATCAGCTTCATCAGCGTCACGCGCTCCCTCTGATGACCATTCGACTCGCGTCGCGTGGCATTCACGTGTTCCTGCATACTGGCCACTGTGCCATAATGCTCAGTCAATTCCCTCCGAATTGCCGTCACTAGGCCCTGTCCAATCAGTCCCAGTGGATGCTTCTCGCTCCGCTTGTCCACAAAGTTCTCCACTTGATCGTGCAGAAAGCCCACCTCTGCCAGCCGAAGCAGCATTTCGGCGTGCTGGGCACTCAAGGAACGCCGCTTGGCCGGCTCCAGCTTAAAACCTCCGTTCACGACATCCTTCCGCAGGTACTTGCACTGCTTCCCAATCATGGCATACAGCACATCCTGCACGAGTTCATCCTGCAGATCAACAACGTCGAATGACGATTGACTGCCAGAGCGCGGCACGGATGTTGTCGCCTGAAGTGCAGATGAGGAGCGACTGGAGAAAGCCTTCGAAGCGCTCTGGCTTCGCAGCATTGTTGGCCGCGGCAAAGCAGACTCGGGAATCGCACGTTGAACAGAATTATTTCTGCCAGCCGATTGGCCTCTATTTTCCCTTCCGGAATTTGCCATGCACAGAAGAAATGAGAGTATTTGCGTGCGAGGAACCAATTCCATCTGTAAATAGTAGTAAATAGAGACAAAATTGAGTATAATAATGAGAAAAATGGCTATTCCAGAAGCTCACCAACTGGTTAAATCAAAATCTATAGCTTCTTATCACGTTCACACCAGTTCAGCTACTAAAATAAAACACACTCACGCTTGACGATAAGTGATTGTGCAGCCGCGCGAAGGACTCCAAATCACGACTGGACTTCTGTGAGAGAATCGATCTGATTTTGGCCACTATTGTCTGCTCATCCTCTGCGCCCGTCGCCCGAGCAGCGTTCTGCGTGTTCGCCAGGTAAGCTGTGACACTCCTCGCGGCCCCTCCTAGAAAACATTACATACATTTGAATACATCTAGAGCGCATCGCGTGGAATTTCAGCGAATCCGCACGCACTATTTCCTCCTACTCACTCTCTCAATTTACACAGTATAATTCAATTTATCTCGTGCACCAAAATTACGTTAAAAATATATACAGAATATTCTGTGTCATGACTAAACCGAAACTGGCTTACTGTGATTCCTGCCGCCGAGTTCCGTGCATAGTTGCTCCACCAAGTCATAGACATTTTGGTTGTTATTATTGTTCATCTCCTCAACTTATCCAAATACTATTTGGCCAGAAACAAATCAACAAGATACGATATGTACTGAAATAACTGCAGAAATAAACAAAAGAAAGTAGCGGTCAGTGGAAGCGCCCTTCACGGGGAAATACCGCAGAAACTCACCCGAAAATTGTTCTAGCATGTGTTCTAACAATCAAAGACACAACACACTAATTTCACAACAAATTACTACTATTTTCTAGTCACTTTCGATAGTTTCTAAGCGCAAATTTCACTTTTATTTGAAGACTGAAAGAGCTACTCGCTTCTTCACAGATGATCTGTCATGTTTGATATGAAGTTGGCTGCAAACGCAGGGAAATTTTCCAAAATTCAAATCCCAAAACCGGAAAAGCGCGGGCTGTCACAAACGCAACCTCACTTTAGTGTTACCGCGGCTGGTGAAATTTTGGTGCATTTTCTGAGATGGCTCTCTGGGTGGATAAGCATCGTCCGCGGGACTTCAGCAAGTTGGATTATCACAAGCCACAGGCGGAACAACTGAGGAATCTGCTGAAGCAGGGAGATTTCCCTCACTTGATGTTCTACGGTCCATCCGGCGCTGGGAAGAAGACTCGCATCATGTGCCTCCTCCGGGAACTCTACGGATCTGGCGTTGAGCGTCTGCGACACGAAACGATGGTCTTCACGACGCCTTCCAACAGGAAAGTGGAGATAATGACTGTGGGCAGCAATTATCATCTGGAAGTGAATCCCTCAGATGCCGGAATCTACGACAGAGTAGTGATTGTGGATCTCATCAAGCAAGTGGCACAAACACACCAAATTGATCCCACAGGGCAACGAGAATTCAAGGTGATTGTTCTCTCGGAAGTCGATCACATCACGAAGGACGCCCAGCACGCTCTGAGGAGGACAATGGAGAAGTACATGAACACCTGTCGCATTATCTTGAGTGTCAACTCCACGTCCAGAGTGATTCCGGCCATCAGGAGTCGGTGTCTGGGCATCAGAGTGGCTGCTCCTACTTATGAGGAAATCGTCAGTGTGCTCATGGCCACGTGCAAGAAGGAGAACCTCCAGCCATCACGTGAACTTTGTCAGCGCATTGCTGAGCAGTCCAATAGGAACTTACGGAGGGCTGTTCTCATGCTGGAGGCTTGCAAAACGCAGCAGTACCCCTTCACGGGCAGTCAAAAGATCACAGAACTCGATTGGCAAGTGTATCTCAGGGACACAGCCAATGAGATCATTCTGGAGCAAACGCCCGCTCGTCTGCACTCCGTCCGCGAACGCCTGTACGAGTTGCTAGCCCAGGGAATTCCACCGAACATGATCTTCCGCGGTCTCGTGGAGAGCCTCGTGGTGAAGTGTGACATGAATCTTAAGGCGGAGACGATAAAATGGGCAGCGACATTTGAACACCGGATGCAGATTGGCAGCAAGCACATCTTTCATCTTGAGGCCTTCGTGGCGCGATTCATGGCAATTTACAAGCAACAGTTGGACGACATTCTCATGGATGACTTGTAAGCCTGTAACTGCGCATGTTCCGTTTCCTGGTAACGACTATTACTCAGGACAAAATTTTCCAAATAAAAAAGATTGTAAAAGTGTTTTGAGGATCAATAATCGAGTCTAAAACTCCCCATGGAAATGTACGACGAAGAGATTGAAGTGAAGAACGGTAGAGAGATAGAAACTCCTCCCAATTTGGACGTCAGCAATGCCATCCACTTCATCCAAAGTGATCTGCAGAAGCTCTCGGATGGAGAGGAGGTGAGGCAAGCACAGTTTAGTCTTAAATCCTCTAAGATAGACTTGAATTCCAGTCCCTGGAGTTTCCCCTGTCGAAGATGGACGAGAAGAAGCAAGCGCGGAAGTTCGACAGCCCTGGTAGTGCGTCATCCGGTGGCAGTGATTCGGTGTCTGATGATCTGAACAAGCGCTTTGCGGAGGGAGACTTCAATCCCAAGGACTATGAACACTTGGAAGCGCCATCGGACATAAAGGAGATGTTTCAGTACATCCTTCGATACACTCCGCAGAAGATCGACATTGAGTATCGTCTGCAGCCCTTCATTCCCGACTACATTCCCGCGGTGGGAGACATCGACGCCTTCCTCAAGGTGATCCCACCAAAGAGTCTCAGTGGACGCGACGATGTGACGCCCTTTATAGACACCCTAGGACTCACGATCCTCGACGAGCCTTGTGGACAGCAGAGCGAACCGGCGTTGCTGCACATGAAGTTGCGCTCAGTGTCCACTGTGCCGCACGTCCAGGATCACCCGCCGGCAATTCTCAAGTCACCCAAAGACATCAGTCGCTGGATCACAGAAATCCAGTCACTGCACAGCAATCAGCCTCAGCAGACGCTCCTCTACTATGAGAAGCATCCCATCAACATCGACACGCTGATGGCCGAGTGGCCGCAGGTTCTGGAGAAGACGTTCAACGAGCTGGGATTTCCCTCTGTCGATCTCGATTGCTCCCTGCTGGAGTACATCAACATCGTGGCCAGCCTGCTGGACATTCCCCTCAAGGGGAAGACCCAGGCGGACTACATCTACGCCCTTCACACGCTCTTCAGTCTCTTCGCCGCTGTAAAACGTCCCTGAATTTCAATAAGATCATTTAATTCTCAGTTTTGCATCTGCTCATCCAGCGTTCGCGTCATCCACTCCGGCTCCGCGATGCCAATCTTTTCGATGATTCCATTCACTTGATAGCAGAGCGACTGGATCTGCTTGTCCCACTGCGGCAGGATTTCCCTGGTCTCGAAGTGCACAATGCCGTCAATCTGATCGATGTACCCATTCATGCGCCCCTCCGTGATCATCTGGCTGGCGATTCTCTCTGCCTTGTTGGGCGAAATCTCCAGCAGAGCGCCAAGCTCCACGAATGTTATATTATTGTAGAGCTTGCTCGCGGAGAGGAGATTGTGCTCAAACACGGCACGATCGAGAATCGATGATCCATCCAGAGTGCTGGCCTTCTGGTGCAACTGCAGCAGAGCCTCGAATTCCTCCAGTTCGGATCGCCTGATGATCCTGTCGAGGTACATCTTCTCCAGAATCGAGTACGCCGGCAGATGTTGGCAGCGCTCATCCTTGAACAGTGTGGCCAGCATGCGAGATCTCTGCTGGCCAGCAGAGGCGAGAATTGTGCAAATCAGCGCCTTCTTCAGGGCAGTCATGCGCTCCTCCTCATCCACAATGGTTCTGTACGACAGCTCATTATATCTTTGGGCCGCCTCAATGAACTTCCTCCTGTAATCCAGCACACGAGCATAGCAGACTTTGTAGAGCACCTGCAGTTTCTCACTCTTGGTCTCCGCCTGCAACAGAGAGGCCCGATTGATGTACGCCTCCGCCTGGACAGGATCGTCGTCCTCCAGGTAGAGTCTGGCTATCTTCAAGTAAGTCTCCAGCTTGTAATCCACCGAGTACTGCTTCTGGCCAGTCTCCAGTGGGATTCCCACGAGCACATTGGCGGACTCACGCCAATTCTGCTGATGCTCATATATCTTGGCCAAGTGCTGACGAATACTAGCCACTTGCTCCTCAAATGAGATCACACGCGGCTGCACTTTGTCGAGCGTGAAGTGCGAGATGACTTTGGAAGTGTCGTCCGGAAGCTTGGTGAGATGAACCGCAACATCTGTGAGGATCTGTCGTGAGATCACGAGACTCACGTGTTCATTGACGACTGGAAAGGCACACAAACTTGAATTAAATCATTAAACTTCAGGGGAAAATGGGGGAACTTACTGGATTCTATAAACAGCTTCAGCGTGTCAGCAACGTCCGGGCCGCTCTTTGCCAGAATCACTTCCAAAATAGATCGATATCTAGAACAGACGAATGATAATTAAAACGAGAGGCAATTTGGGCAAAAAAGTTTGGGGAAAAAGGGGATAAAGAAGAAAATTTTCCCACAGATTTGAGGTTAGGGCGTCCTTACTTGTCTGCCTGTTCTTTGTGTGTCCCTGTGAAATTCACCAGGGACACCAGCATTTGCCGCAGCGTCGAAACGGACAATTGTCCATCCACTGCACTCATTTTTAATCTCTTGTTCGTAGAAATCGCTGGAAAATGAACAGAAAAGCACAGCACGAAAATCTCCTCCACCCAAAAGCAAAACAAACTCGAGTGACGTTTCTCTCGCCGGCTTTTTACTACGCCGTAGCAAAGTCTTTTATACGCGTCATTATGTAAGGGACTTTCCGGAGTTTTCCCATATGATTTCGTCATGTTGAGACAAACAGTGAGGATTTGCAGTAAAAATGCTGTGAAAAACGCAGTTTTGGGAGGGAGATGCGCTTTCTCGTCCAGTGATTCCCAGGAGAAACACTACGATGTGGTGATTGTGGGTGGAGGAATGGTCGGAACCACCCTGGCAAATGCTATAAGCAACAATGCCAGTCTGTCGGAACTCTCAGTACTCCTCCTCGAAGCCTCGGCCAAATTTAAGGGCTTTGCCGGTGGCAGCTACTCTAACAGAGTCTCCGCTCTCAATCGCAACACCATTGACCTGCTGAACTCCATCGGGGCGTGGCAACACATCCAATCCGCCAGATTCCGTGGTATCAGGAGGATGCAAGTGTGGGATGCCCTTTCGGACGCCTTCATAACGTTCAATCAGGATCCTGGGGAGGATTTAGCGTACATTGTGGAGAACGACCTGATTGTCGATGCTGCGCTGAAGACCATGAATAGTGGCCCAAACATCACTGTCAAGTACAGCTCGGGCATAAAGGAGTGCTCAATCCCCACGAGCGCTGAGGAGCGAGCCTCTGTGACGCTGAATGACGGTGAAGTCTTCACCTGCAATCTGCTGATAGGCGCCGATGGGGCTAAATCTCTGGTGAGAAGGAGGATGAATGTGAACACCTTCGAGTTCCCATACAATCAATCTGGAATTGTGGCCACGCTGGAAGTGGAGGACAGTGGCGAAAATTCAACAGCCTGGCAGAGATTCCTCCCAACGGGTCCGGTCGCTCTGCTGCCTCTCAGCGATTCCCTGAGTTCTCTGGTGTGGTCGACAACATCAGAGGAGGCGAAGAGGCTTGTGAAGATGCAACCGGAAGAGTTTGTGGCGGAACTCAATCGAGCATTCACCAGGAGCTACAATGAGAGCGGTGTGGCATCAGTTTTAGACGTCCTCAGGAAGTGCCTAGTTCCAGCTGATAAAAAACATCCGCCGCCGAGAGTGGCAAAAGTACTGGACAACTCGAGAGCAGCCTTTCCGCTCGGATTCTCTCATGCATCATCCTACGTTAAGAACGGCGCAGTCTTGATTGGCGACGCCGCTCATCGGATTCACCCGTTGGCTGGTCAGGGAGTGAACCTGGGCTTCGGAGACGTGAAAGCACTGACAACTATTCTGGAGGACACCGTTTGCAGTGGAGCAAAGTTGGGCGATTTGAGCCACTTGCTAAAGTACGAGCGAGAGAGACTCTCACGGAATGTGCCCATTATGCTGGGCACGCATGGAATACAGAGACTCTACTGCACAGATTTGGCTCCAATCGTCCTCATGAGAAGCATAGGATTGCAAGTGACGCATTCACTGCCGTTCCTCAAGAAAATCTTCATGGATCGAGCGATGTATTAATTGGTGTCAAATATTGATATTTTCAACCTTTTTGCGTTGTAAAAGATTTTTCATAGTCATGTTATTCATCATTAATCGCGGTCATGAATTTTCATTTCAAAAGTGCAGGAGAAATTCAAATACTTTCCGCACGGCGGCGATACTTGTCAAAATTGCAGACGGCGAGTTCCCGGCGGAACAAGTCCAATTGAGATCTTGCTAGTTTCCTATATTCATAGGCGAAACATGTTATGATCATACACAGCGGGAGGAATCCTGCAAATTGGCTCACAGTCACCTTAGGGCCCATTTTGGGCGGAAAATAAAATAAATTAAAATAATATGAGAAATTTTTCCATTGTCGAGTCCAATTTGGCATGAATAACCGTTGCAAGCATATCCGCTAGGGTTTCATCGATTCCCATAAAGAATGGGCATGACGAGCACTTTGGAGGAACGGGAGGAACTATTTTAACGAGAAATTGCAATGAGAAGGGGTTAAGTCTTGCGGCAACAATTTGGCCGATTGTACCATGAAGACGTGGGGTAACGGAAAGCGCGTTGAAATGAGGGACCGAGTCCACCGGGTAGTGGCCATTTTGTAGGCAGAGTTTTGAGTGATTGTGTGCACATTTGCTGTGGTCTGCATTTTAATCTGTTGCAGTGCATTTTCACGGTGAATCAGCCGCGCGTTCCCACCCATCTGTGCCTGAGCGCCCCATGGGCGCACCCCAGTAGCCGCCGGGAGCGTCACAAAGCCGAGTGAGTTGAGAGTGTGTGGGGCTGTCAGCAAACAAAATGCCATACTCACTCTCCTTTGTTCGCCCCCTTTTGCAGCCATGAAAATCGACACGTCGCGCCTGAAGCGGGGCAACTCGGACGTGTCCCCCGAGTGCCAGGCGCTGATCGAGCGCCTGCGATGTTGCTCCCGGACAGAATTGGCCGCGGAGCTGGCCAAGATTGAGTCGTGGACGTTCGGGAAGTGCGAACTCTACCACTGGATTGAGGTTCTGGACATCTTCGATAGCATCCTGGAGGAGGCCACGGACATCCAGCGCAGCGAGTGGCACATCGAGATTGATGTCAACTTCAGCAGTGATGAGGTACGGACAGTGGAAATTTCCACCCGGAACTGTCATGGATTCCCAAAACTTGTGCTGCTCTTCTTGCAGGTGAAACTGGTGCTACTTGTCCTCAACTTCACCACCCTCCTGATCGAGCACAGCTTCTCGCGTCACCTGTACAGCTCGATTGAGCACCTGAGCGCTCTGCTGCTCTCCGTCGACATGGACATCGTGCTGGGCGTCCTGAACTTGCTCTACATGTTCTCGAAGCGCAGCAACTACCTGTCGCGTCTCACAGGTGACACGCGTGCTGCCCTGCTCGGACGCCTCAACTTCATCGCCGAGAGTTGGGGCGGACGCGAGTACGGCCTGGGCTTGGCCGAGTGCTGTCGTCCGGACGCCCAACTGCCGCCCAGCGCCACCATCTTCTACTATGAGTACTATAACAAGCGAGGCGATCTCGAGACCATCAACATGGAAGACGTGCGTGGAAAGTTCAGTGATCCACGTGATCTCACCGTCCATCTGCTGCAGAGAAGCACAGACAGGTGAGTGGCGCTGCGCAGAAGGAAAGTGCACGCAACCTACAACCTTTTCTCCCTTTTAGACTCACGGATGAACAGCGAATCCACCTATTTATGCGACTCCGTAGCTCAATGCGCTTCCATGAGCACCGTGCACGACTGCAATTTGTCCAGGCGCGCTTGCAGGCGCTGTCGGTGCTCGTGTACTCCGATGCCATTCACGAGAAGACCCACTCACTGATCTATCCGGGCTTCCTCGAGGAATTGGTAGAGTTGCTGGAATTGGCGGGCGGTGACTTGGTGGAGATTCACGCTGCCGCGTTGCGCACCATGACGTCCATCATTCACCTGGATCGCAATCCGACACTGCCGAAGAAGCCAAGTTCACGCCTCGGCATGATCATTGATGTCACCGGTGCCAATTCATATCACGGTTTCCTGCCCACACTCGTGCGCGGCTGCATTGGGAGTCTCACGGCGCCCACGGAGACATTTCCTCTGCCACTGGCCACGGCTCTGTTCAGCTTCCTGTATCACCTCGCCACGTACGAGGTGGGCGGCGAGAGTCTGGTGGCGTGTGGCATGATGGAGAGCCTCCTGCGCGTGATCAACTGGCAGGGCACTGAATTGGAGCACATTACCTTTGTCACGCGTGCTGTGCGCGTGATTGACCTAATCACAAACATCGACATGGCGGGATTTCAGCTGCACGCCGGCCTGGCGAGCTTCATAGCGCGCCTGGAGATTGAAGTGGCCACGTGTAGGACAGATCAGCCAGATGAGATAGCTGGCGAGGAGGCGACCAGCATGCAGGAGGCGGCAGAGATGCCACGGCATCGTGGCGGTGTCTGTCTGCCACAGCGTGCGGCTCTGCTCAAGTCAATGCTCAACTTCCTGAAGAAGGCCATCCAAGACAGGGCGTTTGCCGAGAGTATTCCACATGTGATGGAGGGCACACTGCCCGCCAGCCTGAGACACATCATTAGCAATGCGGAGTACTACGGACCGTCGCTCTTTCTCCTCGCCACGGACGTTGTCACAGTGTACGTCTTTCAGGTAAGGTCTTCATAGTGGCACTGGTTTGTCAAGATTGTGAGATTAATAAAGTGTTTTGATACACTTTGCAGGAACCCAGTCTCCTGTCGGCACTGCAGGACAATGGACTGACAGATGTGGTGTTGCAGGCGTTGCTGCACAAAGACGTACCGGCAACGCGAGAAGTTCTCGGCTCACTGCCCAATGTGTTTAGTGCACTGTGTCTCAATGGTCGTGGTCTTGAGGCCTTTCTTGCCTACGGTCCCTTTGACAGACTCTTCCGCGTGCTGCTGTCGCCCACTTACTTGCCGGCAATGCGGAGACGTCGCAGCAGTATTGGTGACACGGCCACAAATCTCGGAAATGCTGTGGATGAGTTGATGCGACATCAGCCACGTCTTCGTCAGGCTGCCACTGCAGCCATTGTGAAGTTGCTACGAGATTTAGTGGAGTTGGGTTCGAGTGCGCGTTTCGTCTGCTGGCGTCCACCGGCCACAGTGACGCCACGTGATGTTCCTGCAAAGAAGACAACGCCTGCAGATGCTGGCAGCAGTGATGACGAGGAGGAGGACGAAGAGGAGGCCAGCACGGCGTCTCAAAGGTGAGAAACCTTCCCAATTTTCATGTTCTCTGTCCTACAACATTTTGGCACTTGCAGGTATGACACAACCACACCATCGGCCAGTCGACAACAAGTGCCGCTCACGGACTACATTCACAACACGATGAAGTTCATTGATGCTATTCTCAGCAAGAGCAATTCAGATGATCATTGTCGTGAGTTTGTGAATCAGGGCGGTCTCAGACCACTGCTGCAAGTGCTGGCGCTGCCCAACTTACCCGTGGACTGTCCAGTGACGGCATCCGCGCAGAGCGTGGCCGCCGTTTGCAAGTCGATCATGAGTTTGGCCTTTGAGCCCATGGTGTTGGGCATTGCGCTGGAGCATCTGAGTGAGATTGTGACACGCTTGGAGCCGCTGCAGCGTCGCCTTGAGTGCCCCGGTGGCAGTGTGTTGCTGAGTGAATTGGCTCACTGTCCGGATCCTGAGCTTGCGTTCGCTACGCCCGCCTTCACGCCGCTTCTTCATGCCATCAGTGCGGCTCACGGGTATATTGTGATGCTGGTGCACGTGTGTCGGACGGGGCAGAACAATGTGCGCACGGTGTCGCTGCAGAAGTGGGGTCAGGACTCTGAACAGGGCCTGGGCTTGCTGCGTCGTCTTGTGCAGCTATACACGGCGCTGGTGTGGGAGAGTACACTGCTGTTGGCCCTGTGCACGGATGACATCATCCCGGCGGACTGTGACTTTGGCAAGGAGGATCTCGATCGTCTTGTGCGTGACACACCGCCCGCCACTGATGTGGGTGTGAGCAGTGGCGTGACAAATGCCATGGAAAACCTCACGACACGAACGGAGACTGTGATGGAGATCGACCTGACGCAATCGAGTACGGAGAGTGAACAGAGTGAGGTGAGACGACGCAGTGGCGCTAATCCGACGCAATTGCGATACATCAATGTCTTGCTGAGTGTCTCATCGCGTCTCGGCCGTGCATTGGCGGAGTTGTTTGGGCTGCTGGTGAAGGTGTGCATGGGTTCGTCAATACGACAACGCCGTGGTCACAGTATGCCCACAGTTCCGCCATGCTTCGTGGAGACATCAAGGGAAATAGCTCGTGTGCTGAGCTTCACACTGGTGGATGGATTGAGTGTGGAGAAATTGCCACCGTCACCCTTTCCAAAGATGAAATTCACATATTTGATCTGCAGTATTGGCTTCACCATGCCAATGTTATTCGATGAGCGTCGCTATGCCTTCCATCTCATGCTGCAGAAGTTCGTGCAGGAAGGTGGACTGAAGGCTTTCTTCGATGTGTTCACTTGGGCTCTCACCAGTGCCACACCAGAATTGCCTGACAGCACGGTGGAGTTCATGAATGAGTGGCTGACCCTGCTGGAGCGACTCATCAATCCAAAGGCCATCCTTCACAGTCCACACGGACTTCCCACCAGACCTCACTCATCCACACGTGATCCGTCAGACTTTGATATGTTGCAGTACATGATGGAGGTGCAGCGAAGTGCCTTTCACGCCATCCAACAGTTGCGTAGCGTTGTGGCGAATAGGCACTACAGCGATCGTATGCACGAGTATATGCTGGTGATTCTGAAGCACATCTTCAAGGCGGAGGCGATCATTAAGGAGCGCCAGACTGAGAATCGTGCTGCTGAGGAAGAGACTGAAGAATCTGATGTCGCATCACGTGTTGTTGTGTCACGCGGTCGTGGCATTTCTATAACACGTCGAAATGATCAGAGAACTGAGGCGCCGGTGAATCCTCAGCATCTCCGTCAACTCATGGACATGGGCTTCAGTCATGATCACTGCACGGCGGCACTGAGACAAGCCACATCTGTGGAGCAGGCCACGGATTTGCTGCTGAGCATGCCGGACAGACCGACGGAGGCGCGTACAATGGATGTGGACATTGGCGAGGAGGAGCAGTACATTCATGCCATTCTCATGAGCTTGCGCGACATGCCGGACAATCTTGTGGAGGGAAGTGCAATTGCTGAGGCGCCAGAAGTGGCTAAAGTGGAGCCATTGGCCACTGAGGAGTTGGATCGATTCACAGACAGTGCGGTGTATGTTTGCCTTCACATTATAGACACAATGCCATCACTGGTGACCAGAGCACTCGAATTACTCACCACAATAGCGAAGCGCAATGGAGATAAGTGAGTTGTGGCTGATTATGGGAGATTTTAACAATGAAAATTAATCATATTTCTCGCTTTTCAGGTGGCGTGATGAGATGCTGAGTGTGATTTTGGATGATGTGATGAGTTGTCTGGCTTACTATGAGAAGCATCTCAATCGTACAACACCGCGTTTGGCCTTTGTGAATCTCATGAGTGACACTGCATTGTCGGAGAGGACGAACAATCGTCTCCACTTGTTGCGACTGATGCTGGATGGTCAGCAGAGTCACGAAACGCGTTTGCCAACGGCGAATGCCATTCTGCGTGCCAACATGTTGACGCGCATTTATGCGGTGATGGAGCGTCTGGATCACAGACTCACGCACTTCAACACGGAAGTGAGTGGTCCCAAGTGGTTCCCTCACTTGGCGGTGTTGTTCAATCAGATGGAGCAGGTGACTGTGTGGCTGGAGCGACGCGAAGCGATGCTGAGCACAGCTCCGCACACATGGCGATGGTACGACGTGGCCACGGCGCAGTGGAACAATTTCTCGCCGGCCAATACACGGACCATTGCAGACGCTTTTGCGGCTGGTGAGGCGAGTGTGCGCATCCGGAGTGGACGATCAAGACTCACCATCAACTTTGGATGCATGTCGCAGGTGAGAAAAAGCTCCTTTTACTCTCCCTGAAACATTGCAGTAATGACTTGTTTGTGTGATATTTCCAGTTGAATGAGGAGACAGGCGCCTATCAGACTGTCATTGTGAGTCCAGTGACTTCCACCGCAACGCCTCTGGCTGTGCCACGGGGTCTCGATCAATTGGATGTGACGATGGTGCTGGAGATACTCATTGATCTGCTTCCACTATCGGTGGATGTGGCCGTGAAGCTGGCTCTGATGCGTGTAGCCCTGCGAGTGACGCGCACGCACGCTCATGCGAAGTACTTTGCGCAACACGGTGGTGTTGAGGCACTGTTGCGAATGCGTCACGTGCCCGGACAGCCGTCCTTCCTGCAAATGGCTCTTTTACTCATCCGGCACGCCATCGAGGAGCCGCGCACACTCGAATTGGCCATGGAGGCGGTGATTGGGAGTCGTGTAGTGGCAAATGTGCCGGCTGGCTATCGTGATCTCATCTACCTAACACGACAGATCAGTGCTGCTGTGGCACGATGTCCAGAGACGTACGTGAAGGTGGCAAAGCGTGTACTAAGACTGGATCCTGCGGGTGTTAGACGTGCACAGCAAGACGATAGTGAGCCGAGATTGCTGGTGAAGTTGGCCACAACACCTCAGCAGAATGCATCGAAGAACTATGCTGTGGAGGATAAAGTGACACACGATGTGAGTATATTGAATGATGATGATTAGTTTTTGGGGGTGGAAATCGAATTGAAATTGATTGTTGCAGGTCATCAATGCCATTCTAAGTGCATTGGTAACACCTGATCCTGACGCCACGTCTCGTCGTGGTTCTGTGGATGAAGACCGAGTGGCTCCACTGGCGGATGAGGAAGATGGCGATTCATCAACAGCTGACGAGCGGATGCCGCGTGCTCGATCGCCGGGATGGTTGAGTCAAGTGGCTGCACCGTCAGAGACAGCAGATGGTGATCGGCCGTTGCTGTCCAAGAACGTATTGCTACGCTTTCTCAACGATCTCGTGCGCTCGTATCAAACGGTGGCACTCATTGTGGCGGAATACAGTGTTGAAGAGACGCCACTCATCGCCTATCTTATTGACACTTTCATTCCGGGGACAGAATCAAGGCGCGATCGTGAGTGTAATGCGAGTGCTAGGATGCTGATTTCTTCACTGGCAGCAATGTCAAGTGTGGGACGTATTCAGAGCATTCTTATTCACGAGGTGAAGGCGGCTTTGGTGCGCACATGGCAGATGACTGACATGGCGAAGAAGTGTGTGCACATTCAGCTGCTGGCGCAACTCATTCCAATACTTATTGAGGGCAGCCCACCGGAACCACCCGTGGTGATGACCACGAGTGGACTGAGGCAGCAATTGATGATGCCAAGGCGTAACAACATGTTTTACGGGATGGTGAGACTGAATTTGATTGAGGATCTGGCCAGAGTCACACAGCAAGTGAGTTATCATCAACTAATTTTTCTGATAAATTTGTGACTAATTGAATCTCTCTTCTGCAGGTTGACTTTGCCAATCCTCATGCTATCGCTACATTAAATGCCGCCCTGAAGCCACTGGAGACTCTGCTGAGATTGACGAATCAGCCAACATTGTCGGTTGTGACTCGCAGAAGAGGCGCCACACGTCGGCGTACAGCAACACGTGCTGCTCCACCTGAGGAATCACAGCAGCGCAATGTGGATCTCATTGTGGAGACAGTGATGATGTCTCCGGAGAATGGAGAGCGTCCTGCGCCCGCTGAAGCACCGCCGGCCAACACGTGGGAAGAGGGTGAGGCGTCCACGTGGCCAGATCTCTACCAATTAGAGTCTAGCAGTGATTCGGAGGAGTCAGAGTCTGGCGGTGGTGAGGAGAATGCCGAACCGGCGGATATGGAGAATGAGGAAGAGGAGGAGCCAGAGCCTGAGGAAGCGGAGCCAGAGGAGCCAAGTGATATTGATGTGGATGAAGAGACGCGTCAGTTCATTGAGATGTATGATCAGCACGTGTACGGTCGAAGATCGCCGTTTGGCGAGGCGGAACGTGAGCAGGATGATGTGATCATGATTCAATACCCACGCGGAGGTGGCGGTGACAGTGTCGATGCTGAAGCTCCTGAAAGTGGTGCTGCGGAAACACAACGCGACAGTCCACGTGTTTATTTCCACACTATGTACGAGGATGGCAATGAGACGAGAACAACGGCGCCCCGTGAAGCGCCAACAACAGCGGCGGGCAATCTGCAGATGCTGATGGGGAGCTCACAAAGTACTCCGCCCGAAGGGAATTCGGTGCAGAGGACAAATCGTATGCGGCGCTATCAGTATCTGCGGAGTATTGCGGCGCGTAATACCACACAACCCGTTATACTGCAGAGACTCTTGGGACCGAGTCAGCACACTAGCACCACCGCAACACCATTCCGGGACGCCACGCGAGTGGTGTTGATGGACAATGGCTTCGGGATCTTCTCACCAAGAGATGTAAGTGAATTGTGTGACTCGCTAATTGATCATATTGTTTAATACATATTGTATGTTTTGCAGACAAATGGCGAGGAGGGTGCCATTGATGTGATTGACCGGGCGGATTATATGTTTGGACGCTCCTTATCGGCATCTCTCAGCAACACACCACCAGTTCTCACAGCCTGGGGAGATGAGAGTAAGCTTCTGGGCCTAGAGACACAGTCGTATGTCTGTATGCAAGCGTGCGAGGACATTTTGCGTGAACTGGAAGTCTTGCGTGCTGCTGAGGCGGATAAGGTAGCGGCGAAGCGCAAGAAGGCGCAGCCAAAGGCACCCCCAGCAGCAAATGGTGTGAGCGAGGGTGGAACTGAGGTTGCCACTGTGCCGGAGATTCGTGTGACGACAGAACAACCAGAGGTGATCTTGCGCACCACGACAGCCTCGCTGCCGCACGTTGCCGAGGAGGAGGCGGTTGAAGAGCAACAAGATGGCATTCAAGTGATCCTCATGACACGCACCACGGATGATAATGAGGCCGAGAGGCGTTTCTCAGCGGAGGAACCACGCCCGGCATCGCCATCCAGTGATGAGGAGGCCAGTGATGATGCACTGCTTAATAATAGTTTACAACTCATGTCTCCAGCGCAGGATGATGAGGATGAGGAGGACGAGGCGGAGGAGGAGGAGGCCGAGGAGGAAGCTGAATCTGAGGCGGAAGAAGAGGGACAGGCTGGTCAAAATGCCGCCAGTGCGACAGAATCCACACCGCCACCAATGGAAGATGCACCACAGGATGATTTGAGCAATGTGCCGGCGGGCATTGATCCCAGTTTCCTAGCCGCATTGCCGGCGGAGATGCGACATGAAGTGATTGAGGAGCACTTGAGAGTGGAGAGGAATCGCGAGGAGGCGCAACGAAATGCAGCACAGCAGAACCACGCAATAGCGGAGATCAATTCGGAGTTTCTGGCGGCGCTGCCGCCCAACATTCAGGAGGAAGTGTTGGCGCAGCAGCGGATTGACTTGCGTCAGCAAGCCGCCGCTACAGCAAATCCAAATGATCCCGTGGATGCGGCGGCGTTCTTCCAAAACCTCTCACCGGCCCTGCGACAGAGCATCCTGAGTGACATGGAAGACAGTCAGGTAGGGTGTTTTTTGTGCAATGATAATCGCATTTGCATGATAATCTCTGCAATGTTTGGTTTTCTTCCATGCAGATTTCAGTGTTGCCACCGGAATTGGCTGCTGAGGCGCAAAATTTGCGTCGTGATTGGCAATTGATGCAGGAACACGTGATGAATTTGCTGGGCGGCGCGTCCAGTAGTTCATCATCAACAGTTTTGAGATATCGTGGGCGAGATGCAGCGCCACGATCACGTCTACGCGGCGGTTGGGGTGGTCATCTGCAGAGTCTGGGTGAGCAAGCGTCGGGTGAAGGTGTTGTAACGATTTTGGGCCAACACAGCAACACAATGGATCGTCCAGGGAATGCATTTCTGGACCAAGAAGCCCTGACATCTCTCCTCGTGCAGCTATTCATTGATGCACCAAAGTTCAATGTTATGCGCTTCCATCGGGTGGTGAGGAATTTGTGCTTCCATTCGCCAACTAGGCTTTGGATAATTCGCGCTCTGCTTGCCATTATGGAGAGAACAGGTAAAGAAGAGGGTGAAGTGTGATATTTTCTCATATTCTCTCAATTCAATCTTAATGTAATCGTTTTTAGGCGAACGAGTTGCTTTGGCACTGAGACGTCCTGAGACACGAAAACGTGGTCCGAAGTGTGCCACAAAGCAGGAGCGTCCAACGTGGCTCAACATTCGTTTGGATCCGGCACTTGGAAGTCGCGCCAATGTCTTTATCTACAGCGAAGCAACAACTCGTCAGCGTCGGCTGTTGCTCCATCCTCAAGCGGCCACGTATGCTTGTCGTCATGCTCTGGATTTGCTCACACTGCTGGCAAAGACATTTGCTGTGAACTTCATGCCGCGCTCCGAACGTCCTGACGAGGCGGGTCCCAGTCGTGCGCAACCACAGGATGATTTCTGGGATATTGTGGCCAAGCTGGATGCGCCAGGTGGTCGCGTGGCACCGCCGGAGCCACAACGTCGCGGTGCACGTCCGAAGCCGACTCCTATTGTGTTTGCCGAGATGGATGCTTACACGCTGGAAGAGGCGCCGTTCGGACGACTGGTGGCCATGCTGGAGGCGGGAAATATACGCAAAAGTCGTCCACTGACGGACAAACTACTGCGACTGCTGGCGTACGTGAGCATAGCGCTGCCGAAGGAGGTAAAAGACACTCCTCCGCCGCCTTTCGTTGCCACGTACAGCGAACGACTGCTGTCAACGATAGTGGATGTGCTGTCGCACAAGTCATGCTCCGAGGAGGGTTTAGATGATGTGGCCACGCTTCTGAGCAATCTCAGCCAATGCAGTGGCGCCATGAGAGAGAGCATTGTACAGCTACTGGTGGAGGCGGTGGGTGAATTGGCGCAGCGACTGGAGGAGCAAATTAGGAGATTGATTGAGGAATTGCTGGAGGTGAGTTTTCATTAAAATATCTTAAAATCCTCTCTATATATTTGTCTTCTTTCGACAGACTGACTTGTATCCAACATCTGGCGATCCGTCTCCTGATGAGCCGTCACGTCGTGGCACGCTGCAGGATCGTTTCACGCGTGAAATGGTGGTTGTGTCGTCAGAGGGAAGACCCAGGCCGGCCGGTGATCTGCAACTGCCAAGCATGGCACCGCTGGTGGTGAAGGCGAGCAATCAGACATTCTTCTTGCGCACGCTCAAGATCATCTTCCAAGTGCGTAAAGTGGAAAGTGAGGGCGGAACACCTCTGGGTGATGCCCTGACACTGGACACTCTGTGGCAGGCTCTGAGTGATTGTCTGGAGTTGTTGAAGCAGTCACACGATCAACACGCTGTGCTAGTGTTCCAGGCCGCCGTGGAGGCCTTCTTTCTCACGCATGCACCATCGAAGCGGAGTGAGGGTGGAGCTGATGCTCCGCTTGACGTTGTATCGCCCATGTCGCCCATCGCGCACGATCTGGAACTGCCACGAGTGCGCGGTGAGGCATCACCGGCAGCATCGCCGGGTGGGCATCACGGGAAGTTCCTGAAGTTTGCTGAGAAGCACAGAACTGTGCTGAATCAAATCCTGCGACAGTACACGACACACTTGGCTGACGGTCCATTCGCTGTGCTTGTGGATCACACGCGAATTTTGGACTTTGATGTGAAACGACGATACTTCCGTACAGAACTGGAGAGATGCGACGAAGGGATAAGACGTGAGGAGTTGGCTATTCACGTGAATCGCATGAATGTGTTTGAGGACTCCTTCCGTGAGTTGTACAGAAGAAATCCGGAAGAGTGGAAAAACCGTTTCTACATTGCATTTGAAGGTATGCAAATTAATTTTTTATTATATTCAATATGATTTGTGAATTGCAACATGTTTTTCTTCTCTGTGTTTCATTAGATGAGGAGGGCCAGGATGCCGGTGGTCTCCTGCGTGAGTGGTACGTGATTATATCACGTGAGATCTTCAATCCAAACTATGCTCTCTTCACTGTGTCACCCGGAGATCGGGTAACGTACATGATCAATCCATCTTCGCATGCAAACTCAAATCATCTGTGCTACTATAAATTCGTTGGACGAGTTATTGGTGAGTTTTCTTTCTATCAATGCTGTTGCACAATGAGAAAAGACTTCAATCTATCTGTTTATTTCCCTTCTAGCCAAAGCCATTTACGACAACAAATTGCTGGAGTGTTACTTCACGCGTTCGCTGTACAAGCACATCTTGGGCATTCGCGTGAAGTACACGGACATGGAGAGTGAGGACTATGACTTCTACAAGGGTCTCGTGTTCCTGAAGGAGAACAATATCACGGCGCTTGGGTGTGAATTGACTTTCTCGCTGGAAGTGCAGGAGTTTGGCGTGACGGAAGTGAGAGATCTCATACCGAATGGTCGAAACATTGCCGTGACGGAGGAGAATAAGCTCGAGTACATTAGACTGGTGTGTCAGCTGAAGATGAGTGGATCGATAAAGCAACAGTGAGTGATTCGCAATGGAAATCATTCTTTGGCTGTATTTAATGAAAATTGTCTGTATTTCAGGCTCAATGCTTTCCTCGATGGCTTCTATGATATCATCCCAAAGCGACTGATTGCTATCTTCAATGAGCAAGAACTTGAATTGCTTATTTCTGGTCTGCCGAATGTCGACATTGAGGATTTGCGGGCCAACACAGAGTACCATAAATACAGTCCATCGTCCATACAAGTGAGCAGCTTTGCAAATTATCAATTAATTGTATAACTAATCCTCCTTTTCTGTGGTTCAGATTCAGTGGTTTTGGCGCGCTCTGCGAAGCTTCGATCAGGCAGATCGGGCAAAGTTCTTGCAATTCGTCACGGGAACGTCAAAGGTGCCGCTGCAGGGCTTTGCGGCGCTTGAGGGCATGAATGGCATCCAGAAGTTCCAGATTCACCGTGACGACCGATCGACTGACCGTCTCCCCTCGGCTCACACATGGTAAGAGTCATCATTGGCCAGAAACATGCGAATATGACCTTCAATCTATCTCCTCTTTCCCTCGCAGCTTCAATCAACTCGACCTGCCCGTGTACAAGACGTACGACAAGCTGCGGGAGTGCCTGCAGAAGGCTATCCACGAGTGCAGCGAGGGATTCGGGTTCGCCTAGGCGCTGTGATAGACAGAGACTGCGATGCTGTGACGGGGTGGGAAGGCGCGCGTTCATTCCACTCCCCCGCGTTTCCTCCGCGTGGGGGCGGTTTGACAAAAACAAGATGAAAAAAAACAAAGTGAGGAAAGAGAAACCTGTGTTTGCAATATAAATTGCCTCTGTTTTGCAAGTTTAGGCATATCTGATGGCCCTTCCGGTGGTTTTTATTTTTTAACTAGATTGGACTGTAATTTTCCTTCAAATTGTAGGTGCAATTCCCATCATAGTCATGCGCAGGGTTCTTTTTTAACAATAAAAACTGCTTTTCTCCACGTTCTAGTTGCTTTTTATGACAAATTTCCTGAAATTTCTGAGAATAGATTTTGAAACAGAAGACTCGCAGAAGCGTTATTTTTGAACTTTCCATCATTGGCGCCACCTTGCGGAATAAAAGTGATTCATCCGGAGAGGCCATTTTTCTAGCACTTATTCTCTCTCTCTTTTTCTCGTTGTGTTGAAAGAACGTGGAGTGAAAATGGTGAGCTGCGTGGATTTTTATCAAAAACACTCAATTTTATCCCGTTTCTCTGTGAATTTTGTATCATATTCGCAAAATCAATTGCTATTGTTCACTTTGATGTAGAAATTGCATAGAGAATTTCCATAGAAATGGGTTAAAATGGCAATACAAATTGGGAGTGTAAACATAACCTCATTTCACGGGGGCAATTTCTCACGATTTTCCCTGCATTTTCCAGGCCAAGCGCACCAAGAAGGTCGGAATTGTCGGAAAGTATGGCACGCGCTATGGTGCCTCGCTGAGGAAGATGGTGAAGAAGATTGAAATCACTCAGCACTCAAAATACACCTGCACATTCTGCGGAAAGGTGAGTGACTCCTCCGGGTGGGTTTGCTGGGCAGACGCTAATTGCCGCGGTTGTGTTTGCAGGACGCCATGAAGCGCACGGTGGTGGGCATCTGGTCGTGCAAGAGGTGCAAGCGCCGAGTGGCCGGAGGAGCCTGGGTTTATTCCACAACTGCCGCCGCGTCCGTCAGATCGGCCATCCGACGACTCAGGGAGACCAAGGAAGCGTAAGCGCCCGCTCATCGGAGTCCGGAGAACTTGAAATAAATGCACCCAGAGCTAAAATAACAATATTTTTTATTTATCTCTAGCTTCCGGGGGTTAAAGACAAAATAATAGCGTTTCTCTTTGATGTCCTTTATACAAATTTTTGTGTGCCGACCGGGAATTGATCCCATCTTGGCGTGTGTTTTTCCTCTTGTAAATGCATTGGAATGGAGAGTACTCGTTACATTAGTGCTTTTCCATTATAGTAGAAAATCTCGGACAAATACTGCTCGACAATATTCTTTAGTTCTATTCTTTGTGACTTCATTCAAGTAGAAAAGGGAAATACTCGAGAGGAAGACGAGAGATTTCTTCCTTGGCGCTATTTTATGTATTCTCTAGTTTTGTGAGGGTTTTTTTTCCTTAATACAATTCACATGACATCCATTTTCAAATAATCCTCTATGATGAATAACTGTTGAGTCCATAAAACACAAGGATTAGTTTGTGTTAAGAGATGTCCTTTTAAAATAAGATGTGAAATTCATTAATTTTCTCAATTCCTCAGTAATTTATAATCAAAGTTGCTTTTCAATTTTTTTTCTTTCCAACCTTCAATTATTTATGGATTTCACAGTTACTCAAGTTAAAAGAATTGCATGACAAAGTTCACAGAGATTAAATAAAACGCATGCAACGTTAAACAAATAAATCTTTTCTGTCCCTCCCATTTTTTTCACATTCAAATGATATTTTCTTTCGTGTTTTCAGTGCTTTTCTTCACTTTTTGTTTATTTTCACACACGAAATATTGCACCATGTTTTCTTTTTTCGCGCGTTCATTTATAAAATCGATATGCTTTGTTTCTCTTCTTAAAAAAAAATCCAAATTAAGAAAAAAAAACACCCCTCAAAGTGAAGGATTTGAGAATTCATGTGGAAAAATTCACTTATCGCCTCTAATGATAAGATTTTTTCTTACTTATAAGTTTAGACACGTAATTCTGGCATTTTCTCATCGCTTTCGTAAATGATGTTCTTGTCTTTTCTTAACCCTACAAGAGGAATTTATTTACATTTTAGCGTTATTCTCTATACTTGGGAAATTATTCTAGTGATTACACAGAGAATCTCATTTCAACAGAATGGTTTTTATCGTGCAAAACATTGTCACTAAATAAATTTTAAAAACACTATTAACCTCCAATTCATTCATACATTTTCTACATTGTAAAATGATGTTTTCTTCTTCCATTTCTCAGAAACCAGAATACAAAGAATGAGATGTTAAAATTATAATTTTTACAACATTAGCATTTTGTGCCCACATTTTTTTTCCTCTCCTGTTGTAATTCATCGATTGTGAAGCTTGTCTATAAAATGGAAAATATGCATGCTTTCATAAATTTACACACTCTGTCGCTTCCACTCATTGCCATTTGTGCAAATGACCATTGCAAAACATCACTTTGTGTGTGCCTTCAGCGCATTGATTCTCTTTCTTTTTTTCTCTCTCTCAACACCTTTTGTGCCCTTTTTTTCTCACACCTTTTCCGCGCGCGCGCAAATTGTTCAAGCCGAAAATATTGTTTTAAAAAATAACTATACAGTCACATAATCACACAATCACTTTTGGGTGATTTTCTCCGCCTATCATTTTGTTTCCCTCCTTCGGAATACGCCGCCGGCCGGCCGTTGTCCAAAAGAGACTAGAGAAAGTTTCCTTCCATTGTGCAGAGTCTTATGTTCTCTCAATGTCATTCTCCTGATCGTGCTCATGGCCATTCGCCTGCCACTTGAACTGCGATGTCATCTTCCACTGCTGGCCGCGCGAGAAGTTGCAGGGACGCAAGAGTGGCGTCGAAGGATCCTCTCGCGTGGGTCTCGTGAGGCAGTTGCCCGAGTTCACGTGCTTTATCGTCAAGTCCTGCACAAAAGAGACGAGAAAACACACACTTTATTAGCCAATTCACGACAGCACTCAGCCTCAATCCCGTCGTTACCTCGTCATCGTAGACCCACTCCTGGTTGCCCTGCATCCCGTGGCAGCGGACGAGATTCACGGGGCCCATGGCGTGAGCGGCGTCCAAGCAGTTGTCATCAGACATGATTTGATGGCGCTTCGTGTAGGCAAACACTTGATTGCCGCCAAGACCGTGACAATAGCTGGAGCCAATCTTCTCGCCAGATTTCCTGCCCATCGTGTCCAGACAATTATCCGTCTCCACGTTGCGAATCTGCAATGACAATCAATATTACATATATCAACATCAAATTCTACATTCGCTCTTCCCTTCAAATTACAAATTGTCGAGTATATTCATTATTGTCTCTAGTATGGAAGTCGATAAACAGATATTAATTCCTGTGCTTTCGCTGTTTGTTAGAACTTGCCCTTGATAATAACTCTAATTATATCAGAAGCTTGATTACTTACATCACCCAGATAGTAGTAATCCAGTGGCATTTGACTCTCCGGATAGATGTTCTCGAGATACCATCGGAAAGATTTGCAATGAAGTTTCTCCCTGAGCGCTCTTCTTGCACTCACATCACCAGCCGATGCCTTTCTCGCTCCTGCAATCATTTCCAGCCGAAAAAGATCACCATATTAGTTCATGGTCTCCCAATTCTCACGGAAAACTACAGAGAATTGCACATAGCACCCAGATTTTGCTGTACAAATTTCATACATACAATGCACTTAAAGACATAGAAGAGGTAAAAAAAAAGAAGGCGAAGAAGCGCATCAATTTTCTGTGCTCTTTGTGGTGTTCATAAATAAATTCTTGCCCATTGTGGCGGCAACAAAATCATGGTGCAATGTGTAATTTCATTCACTTCTGTTTTTTTTGGCAATCTGTACAACAGAGACGAGAAATAAAAAGAGAAGGTACACAAATTTAGAAAAATATGACTATGTGTCGTGTGAAATGTGCATTTATCCGCTGTTCTCCGCCTTTTGCAACAGCAAGAGACACAACAAACATCGATTATAAAATCTACACAGAATATCTTTCATCACAGATGATTACGTTATAATAATAAAATATAATCAACAAGAGACTCATTCCTTCCCCACAAAATCATGGGAAGTGTGTGTGTGTAAGCAGGAGTCTTTTGCAGAGAGACACGTTACATATAATCAAATAAATTAACGTGAAGGACAAATAACTTGAGGATCTGGGAAGATGATGATGGATTGATTTGAGGTGAAGAATGTGTTGCAAGAAGACAAATGAGGTTTGTGAGTAGAATTAGTGTTGTTGACAAAACATGCAATATATGTACAATTCTCTACTATTCAATCATGCTCTGCATGCAAAAGGACAAAGCAATGAAGCAAAGACGTCTTACTAGAGTCCATCTTTACACTGAGAGAAGTTGTGGTCTTTTTTTGCACTTTATCTTTTTATTTTTGCATTGGAAATTCAAGCAAAAACACCACAAATTCTCTCACAAGAAAAGATCCTTGAAACATGCAGCAAATAGAATGGCAAACAAGACACTAAACTAGTGATAGAAGAAGCTTCTTTCTTTCCCTACAAAAGATTTGTTTGTCAAAAAAGAGAAACCTGGGTTATAGCTGTAATAGAAGTCACTCCATTCGTCGAGCCACACTTCCACTAAACGGGCATTATTGTGGTTAACAATTTGCGTTGTGCCACCCGGAAATGAGTATGGCGTTGATTTCCGGAAGACGTGGCCCACTCGAGAGCATGGAGCTATTTCTAATATTCCACCGCACATCCACACCTTTTATGCAATAATAATTTCATAATTGATTCCTTTAGTAACACTTTGTCAAATGATATTAGAGGCATCATAAATATAAGGAAATTATGAATTATGTTAGAGACATTATTCTATACTACTTTCTCATAATTCACCTCTTGTCTATCATTCTCAGCGCCTCAAATCGATCATTGACTTCGTGGCAAATAGAGACAGCGAGAGAAACAAGAGGTGTTAGTGAGAATGAAGTATTAACTGGCGGCTCCTGTTTCCATATGATATCTAATCAATTTCCAATTAAAACTGTGTTGACACCTTTTTTTCTCTCCCTCTCATGTGAATTTCATATCGAAAAAAATATCACATCAATCAAAACACGTCACAGTTTTCACTGGAAATCAATTTCCTCCTCTCGCCTATGGAAATGATGTTGTATATCCCAAATTTTATTAATTAAAATATTAGTTGTTATTTAATTTGGGGTTAAAAAGTAAAACAAATTGAACCACTCTGGTGTTAAATGTTAGATTCTTTCAATGGCAGCCGCTGGGCGCGTAAAAACATTGGCAAAAGAGAGACTGTATATTAGCAATGGGGAAAAATTAATGACTGGATGAGTTTTCCCGAGAGAAGAAGGGATTAAATGCAATCATTAAAAAAGTCTTTCAAATTTCACCCTTTTCTCCTGATATCCAGGATTAGAAGAAGAGAGTGAGAAAAGGGATGATGAAGGGAGAGAAGTTAATATGACGGTGATTTTTACAATCCACACAACTTTTCCTCGCGCGTCTGCAATTCAATTAAACTTCTCCACGCTGCGGATAAAAACATCCACATGAAGCCATGATTTCATCAGGCACAAATTAATTTATCTTGAGGTAAAGTTATAAGCTAGGAAAATATGCTCTTTTTTTGCACCTGTTCTGCTGGAGAATTTGAAATTAAAACACTCTAAGTGCGATTTATACAGCATGAGCCAGACAGAGTGTCCCGCCGAAGCGCTGTTTCATTTCAAAGCACTTACAATTTGTGCAACTAGGCTGAACTTGCAGCGAAGCTTATGCATCGAAAGTATTAAGATATAGCGCTGTTAAAGCTACATTTTCCGCAAGACTGTTATTTAGTCAAGATTAAATAAGTGATAGCATGACTGATTTGCAGTCATTTCACAGATCGAGACTCTTAGACCAATTCACATTGTACTTCCTTTCTATTTTATCATGGCAATTTCTGCACAAATTCAATTTCAACTCTCAATTTGTATTGTGAAAATTAACTCAGAGATATTAATGTAATTTAAAAGTAACATCAAGTAACACAAATTGCTCTTGAATCAAGAGGAAAATGTGAGCTCTTATAATCACTTTCGTCAAGTGATGTTACAAAGATGTCTTTTTCCCAGAAATTTCTACGGATTGTAAATACCAATGTCGACGTTGTATAATTGGGAGGAGAGAAGAAAAGAACGGACCCTGATAAAAAATGCAACAACTGCAAATGACTCTTGGTTCTCGTCATCTCATTTTCTGCGAGAGATGCTCATTAAATGCACAGCGTGAGAGTAAAAGGAGCGATAAAGGAGTAGATAAGAGATAAAAAAAAGAGAACTCAAACCTGGACTCATTGCATAATAAAACTCTCTCCACTCATCCAGCCACACCTCGGCGACTCTGGCTGCATTGTGGAGGACTATTTTGGCGACACCGCCGGGGAAAGTGTACGGGGACTTATCCCTGAAAACGTGGCCAACATGCGAGCACGGAATTATTTCCAGTGTTCCACCACATTGCCAGATCTGGTGTATTTTTTGTTTCGTTAACACGTCGCGCGCGCGCCCCGAGATATACAAGTTTGTTTTATGGGTGCGGGCATTTTTGCGACAGGGAGATTTTTGTGCAATATTTTTTTCACACGCGGAGAAAGTATTTGATGGTGTGTGTGTGTGGTTCCCGTTCGTAGACAGTAAAAGATAAAAGAAAGAAGAAAAAATTACAATTATTAATATACTTCGATGCAGGCCTGAAGAAAAATCATAAATCATGTGCCTTTCTCGATGGGAGGAGAAAAGCAAAATTTCATTTAACACCCCCTCTAAAAATGGGGAGAAAAGAGTGAGAATATCAATGGAAACAGCTGCGAAGGGAGAAAAAAATCAATATTGTTATTGGACATTTTTCACTTGCCGTTGGATGCTCGAAAGCAGACACTTTTTTTCACACAAACTTTGTTTTTAAACTTCAAAGTCTCTCTTTCTCTAGTTTTATTGTGAATAAAATGCAATCACGATTATTTGAATTATTCACTCCGTAAGTACTTTATTGTTTTATTCTTTGGCATTAAGCATTTCAATGCGCCTCTCTTCTCAACCATCCAACGGCAAATGCATGGGAAATTGAGCATCGCAACAAATTCACTCACCCGGAAGGACATCTCGAGATTTTCACCGCCCCAAATGTCCATTCCCTCATCGTAACTGCCAATCTCATAGAAGTAGTCTCTGTCAATGGCAAACAACCCTCCGGCCATTGTGGGTGTCCGCAGCGGCGCTGTTCTATCGTGATTTCGACGCTCCATCTCTCTATTTGGCACTCGATACCACCGGAAGTTGAGCTTCCAGTTGAAGCCACCCCACGTTTGATCCGACGCCGTGACATACTCAAACGTATCATCACTGATCACATCAATTATTGGACAAACCACCGTCTTTCTGTTCACCACTATGCGCGCCAGCAGCGGCTCCAGCCACCCTTCCGTGCACTCGCAGTGAGCGTCCAAGAAGGTGATGATCTGCCCCTTGACGTGCTTGGCGCCCAGCAGACGTGCCCTGATCAATCCCGAGCGCTGCACTGTCCTCAAGACGAATGTCGGCACTGGCAGAGTCGCCACGTACTCTTCCAGCTTCCTGCCCAAGTGCTCCTTCTCACTGGCGTCGTCCACCAGGATGATCTCCTTGAGGAGCGGCCGCGGAGATCTGTTGATCACACTCCACACCGTGCGCAACAGCGTCGTCCAGGCTTCATTGTGAAAGACAATCACGATGGAAGTGGTGGGCAATTTGGCTGGATAGTGCTTCGACCGACATCTGCAAATGATATTTCCACTTAACTCCACACAAAACTGATGCCATGATGATCTATTCTATCCCAACATATTGTCAGCTCACAATTCAATATACAGACAGACTCATTGAATTAATCTTAAATATGCGGTAAACAAGTTTTTCATGGTAAGACTCTTTTTCTTGCTAATAATTCACAATCACGAGGAAGTATTTTGCACGATTCGCGCTTAAGTTTTTACGGAGGATTGAGTCATTCAATTGTCTAGAGCGATTGATGGAAAAAGTGAGGTAAAATACAATCTAAAAAACATAAAGAAATTGCTCACTTCTCATGTCGCACATCCGTGAGGGATCTATTGAGGGATATCATGTCGCTGGCCATCAGATTGAATTGATTCTCCTTGAATTTCTCCTTCATCAGCGCCTGCTGATCATCAGGAATCTTCACTGGCTTCCCCATTTCTCCCGGCAAGCCGTACTTTTCCATCACAGTTGGCGCCGGTCGCCACTTCTTCAAATCCTCCGGTCGATATGTTCTCGGCACCATGTTTCCAAATCCCACGTCCATGTTATTGTTCGTGTCAATCTCCTCCTCATCAACAATTGGATCCTCATCAATTCGCTTCTCCGCCAATCTTGTCATCTGCCAAAGAAAGAGAATTACAGGAAAATTGGTGAGAAAATCACATTCGTGATATGAATGGAGATAATTTTTGTCTTTTGCATCGCGCAACTCTTCGTCATGTCGTACAAAGATAAAGGCAAGTATTATGAGCAGATTGAGGTATTTCGATGGAATGCGACAAGAATCTTCCTCCTCAAACATCGATTCACTCAATGCTTTTCTTTCACGCCGCGTTGCGTGCGGCACGGGATGTCGCGAGAGTCTCATAATCCACTTCTCAGATGCCACACACTTTTTTCTCTATCTTTAGGTCTTCCACACGAAAGTCCACGGCGAACTGGAGGGTAAAATTGCACATAAAATCACGGACCTCTTCACAAGTGTCTCGAAATTCACACCCAATCAATCTTCACGCCTCCACGCAATGGGCAATTGATCAAAATTGTGTCTTTTGATAACATTCCAGCGTCAAGGGCTCTTCCTCTACTCCATTATGGCAAACTTTTCCATACAAACTTCCTGCAAAAGGCTTTTTAGAGACTGAATAATGCGACTAGAACCCTTCCGAATTGCCCTTCTTTCAACACAACACACAAAGTTCCCATCGTTCTGCTCTCCCATGGCAATGATGCACAATATTCCGTTATATGCTACAATATTGATAAATAAATAAGCCATCTTTTCACAGTGTGTTGCGCTGCGCTAAAAGTTTCTCAAGTTCATGGAATTTCTCCCATATCCAATTGGATAATTAGATTGAATGTCTCGCGAGACTGGCGTCTCACTTTAACCCACAAAAACCTTCTGTTTTCCCGACATTTCTTCACACTTGTCTCTTCCACATGATCTTCATTCGGCAATTCCTGCTTCCCATCTCACAATTCCACTCAAGAGCGCGCACTTTACAATCGAAAACCCCCAATAAGTAGCCAAACCAACACGCAAATGCAACTGTTCTCCTCTCTTATATTCTCTCTTGCATTATTCAATTTAAACACTGACTAATATAGCGATTTTATGGAATTAATTGCACTTTTTATCTCTCTCTTTCTCTCTCATCTTCACACACTCCCTCAAAGGCATGCTTTGGATAATTATGGATTATGTGGAGCTGCCTGCATTTCAGACATACATTTCATAAAAACTCATACAGCAAATTATAAAATATATAATTCATTGTTTTGCCTCGTCCATTGCTCCTACATAAACCGCATTTAGAGTTCATTTAAATTGAATAGCGAGTAGCACGACCCATTTCACCTCTTCTTCCATCCTCCACAATCCGCATTACACATACATTCTCTGTTTATATATCTATTTTGCCAATATCTCTCCGCTCGCCAACTGACATATTTAAATTAACTGTGCCTCGAGTGCAACAGGTAACCTTCGACCTTTCCAGCCATTCATGAAAGAATGCTGAACAATACCGAGAGGATGGGAGAAAGAGGGTGATTTAAATGTAATTGTTGCACTGAGAGTTCAACAAAGAAGCATCATCAATTAAATCGGCACATAGTCGCGCACACAATCACATCATGAAGCCGCGCTGGAAGGCAATTAACCTATTAAGAGCGGCGAAGAGACAAATTACGAGGATTTTATATAAGGAAATAAATCAAGCGGAGTGTAAATACTTAGGAGCTCAAAAACTTCGCTAAGCGCACCTTGTAACTTCTAATTTAAAGCCTCGTACAAGTTGACAATGTTGAATTCTATTTTATATTTTAAAGTCGTTCCTAGTAGCCTAATTAGATTTAGAGTTGAGAATATCACTCATTTCCTCTTCTTCTTTCGCGTGCTTCTTGTTATCTAATAGTTTCTTCATGAAAACTACTGGTAAACCGCAAAATGAACACCAATCTGCGCGTGGCTGCGATGGGTTAATGGAAATTTCAAGCTTTTTACACTGACGATTGGGGTGTGAATTGATTGATCTCTCGCGTGTATGTGTGAGTATATTGAATTTTTCGCATAATATAAATTGCTTCTTTACGGTTTTCCTCAATTCAATCACACTTGCCTATATTTTTGCCTATAAATCCCACCTTAAAATCACAATTTTCAGTTAACTCATAACCACACTTCCTCTCTTTCCATTCTACAAGTACTCAAAGAACAAATAACACTCCGTTTTAACAAGGTGTTTTCCACATGTTTTATGAGAAAGAAAAAATTGTATTATTTGTGTGTTTTATTGTTTAATTAATTGAGTGGGAGGAGATAATTAGGGGAAGGTTTCTTTTACTGTCCAAACCGAACATTACTTCTTCTTTTGCACACACCATTGCCATTCAAATTCACTGAACTTGACGGATTTCACACACACACACACCTTCCAATTGCCAATTCGCTGTGGAAAAGTGAGATATCAGGATGAGTTTGCTCGAAAGGCAAGGTCTCTTTTGCATATGAGCGAATGCAAATGCAATTAATGTCTTAACAATCCAATTTTCCACTTTGACTAATTGTTCACTTCCCATTCGCAATTTATAAAAAATTTCGCACTCGGCACGCCAAAAGTCAATATCGACGAGGTGAAGGCTGTGTACGTGTCTCGATATGATGTTCATGTTCTCCTTTTTTATTGCCATATGCGCGAAGAGACGCGGCTATTGAAGAGTGAAAGTTTAATTATAGATCTTATTTTCTCTCCTTCTCGCAATCACACACGTGAAATTTTCCCTCTTCAACTCAACTGAAACATATATAGCCATGCAGCGTGATAAAGAAAGCCGGTTCCGTGTCTCTTCACATGATCATCTCACTCTCGGTTATGACCAAAGAGAAGACCGACCATCAATCGAGAGAGTGTGCGCTGGCCAAAGTTGCTCAATTATTTACAATTTTGGAGCTCATCTGCGCCCTTGATATCATCAATCTGTGCGCGATTAACATTACTTTTTGCTGTGATCATCATCTGAAGGTGGATCTTACTTAAGAGAATGAATGGGAAGGTGTAAAAGTCCCGCTAAGGCAGACTCACAATAAAATTCCCAGCACACAATTTCATAGCGGATCCGCGATTGAGAACCTGTAGCAGTCACACTGACTGTGAGAGACCTGTACAATTTGTGTGTGGAGAGATTCATGATGAAACAACCAATCAATCTTCAACCACGTTAGACCATCCGATATGTTGCGATAATCGCAGCTCATTTCATTCGGTAACACAGATTCTTTGACCATGACTTTTGTGTGTTTATGTAATACGCTTTTGGAATGCGCGAGAGGGAAAATGTCACACTGAAGATTCACTGTGAAAACTAGTCTATTGAAATTCACTATCTTCCAGATCCGTGTAACTAACACTGATTCAATTTCGTCTTTACCAACTTCCCACGTCACTTAACATTTCTTGCGATTTTTAACTGAACAACACACAGAAGCTCTCGTCAAGGATATATACTTGCTGACTGAAAGTTGTTCCCTTTTCCCCTTGCAGTTGGTTGACTTGATTTTTTTTCGAAATGCCCCCGGTTGACTATAGTTTATCTTACATGGGTTAGTAAATCATCTTTGCGCCAGACAAAGCGAATGAAGAATGAATTTAGCATACCTCCAAATCACCATGATCGGATCTCCGTCCACCTGAAGTGTTCCATCCGCCGCCCAAATCCATGTAGTGCATGATGAGCGCCACATCAATCAGTAGCCACACGAGAGACGTGAGCAGGATGATCCGACAAGTGTTCATACGCAACTTGCCACGAAACATTCTCGAAAAATTTCCACTTGTGTGTCTCATAACAGAAAAAAATATGTGTATTTTCCACCCACTTTGCGTGCAATCACGCTTATTTCGTCACCTGCGTCCTCACTTGCGGGGTGACATCCACATTAAACAGCACAGTTTGCGGCTTTCGGGTGCCCCGTGCCACATTGAGGCATAAATGGGCAGAAATTATTATACGATGTTGACGCGTGTTTGATAAACTTGGCGACAAGAGGTGAGTAATTGTTTCAATTAACAATTAGATCTATTCACTGTCGCCATATAAATTCATGCTCTTTCGCGTCTCACGTTCACTCTTTTAGTTTTCAAAAATACAGGTGTGTGTGTCAATTGCTCGAAATCAGTGAATAAATGTCGTCTGTTGCTCCTATTGTTATCATATCGCACCTTTTGTATTGTTTCCCGTCCAAATTTTCTCGCACTTTTCACGCATTCCAGTCAAAATAATCACTTTTTGCACATTTTCCACCCTAGACAACAGCACAGAAACACAGTCAATGCGGCAGCGCAGCGGCGACAGAAACGATTTAGATTACAGAGAAAGTTTCACACAATAATAATCCATCCGACTGACATCAGGCATTTCGTATGGATATTTCTTCACACTTGCAAAGGCTGCTGCCCCACCAACTTGTGACCAATTGGAATGATATTGATGAATTTGTCACTTTCGCCGCACGTGCACAGCAGCAGCATCTCTTCGGCACACCTCCATCCAGGAATTCTGTAAAATATCACACGGAAATTCATTAGACTCTCTTTTTTTCAACACCCAAACCGTTTGCAACACTCTCTTTTTTTCACCTCAATGCTCCAGCGCACACAGGAGAGCTTTTGCAAGAGGAAAAATTTGCAAGTCTGCATATGGCACAATGTGTGCCTCTCAAATTAATATGAAATTTGCTATACATTTTGTCCTTTTTCGCATTTTAATTGCTCACGTTCATGCAGACATTGCACAAAAGCCGGTTGATTGTTTTAAAATCAGCACGCCAATATGCTCAGTGAAATGAAAAGAGTGTGAAAAAGAGGTGAACAAATTTCAGAAGACTCAACATGAACGATGGACACATTTCAACTTATAGCAAAGCTCTGGAACACACGTGTAAAAATATTCAACTGATAAGACGTTCTCAGAGCCGTGCACAAAAACATGCTAGTTGAATTTATGGCTCAATTATACTTTTGTATTTTCACGACTAAATTCGCACTGTGTTCCCTGAATAGAGTCGCTTATCAGAGGAAATAACTACATTTGAGGTCTTTCTCTGTTCATAAACACCATAATTTTGCCTAAACTTTGTGTGTATTATAATTGCAAAGTGATGATAGAAGGACCCGCTCTAATTCACAATATGACAAACTTGACTTTAATTGCTATAAATTCCCTCGCTCCTAACTTCTCTCCAATGTGAAGTGTTCAATTTCCATTTCTTTTCAATATCTCAACAACCACGTGTTTTTTTCCGTCTACCAACGCGTCCAAATGATTGAGAGTGACTTAATAGAAATTCGCTGGCACGGAAGAGTTCACAAAAATGCAACACTTTGGCGTGACGCAATTCATCAGGCCAAATACAATGTGCCACAGAAAATATTGCAGAGCATAGCGTTCATCCATTGCCCGTCTGTTTACTTCTCTTCAATTGAACCGCGAATGCTCTTGTTCTTCCCAAATCCTACACAAACACACACACACACTTTCTCTTCGACACCACGAAAAATTCACCTCGAAATTGAACTAAATTCCCAACGTTATTCAATCGAATGAATCGAGTGCATAATTCTATTGCATGCCAAGCACTGACCGATTCTTCCGTTTTCCTCAACTACACAAGTGAGAAAGAACAACCAGCGACTAATTGTGCATTTTAAATATGTTTCGCGACTATAAAACTCTTCACGGGAAAGTATTCACAGTGTTTTGAGGTGAGTTGAGGCCTCGAGTGACTTTCTTTCGTCAACTAGAGACAAAAACTGGGATTTTTCTTAGAATTCACTTCAAATAAAAATAAAAACATTTTTATATAAAGTATACAACATAATATATAGTTTACATAACATTGAAAGACTTTTCCTTGATTTTGAAACACGATATTTTTCCCCCTGGACATTTCCGTGGAAAATCATCTATTCGAAAACACCATATCGAGAGAGAGAGAAAAAACTCCCTCGGGAATTATTAATAAATGATATAATACCTTTAGGGGAAAAATCCAGAGAAACATTATACGACATGTTTGTTAAATATTTCATATGCTTTGAAAGACTAAAATACTCAATTTCTTCCATTACTCGTTGTCTTTCCAAACAGACAACAAAATCATCACGAAATACAACTCTTCCAATTGACAAATATTAATAAAAATCCAGCCTCAATAATCTCTCTCAAGCTCACTTTCTAATCTCTGATTCACATTTGAGACACCACAGGAAATTGCTCGCTGGAATTTGGAGATACAAATGCGCGACAATGACGGTTTTTTGGCGAATGAAAGGCAAGGAACACGGTTAAAGGTTAGAGATCAAATTCATGCCACAGTGCACGAGAGCTCAGAAAGCACACGTTCAAGAGCCGAACACACTTTGGGACTCCTTCAGCCAAGTGTGCATAATTTGTGTGCTTCATTCAAATTATTGGGAATTTTTCAACCCATTGAAATACAATTGAGACACTTAACCGGTTGTTGGCAATCTCTGCTTCAGTTGCGCCCCTCTTTGCCCAGAGAAATGAGAGAAATTGCCATCTAAAGAGTGCATCTATTCACTTATTGCAGGCTCATTAGAGTTCTAATTGAAGGCTTCTCAAAGCCCTAAATTCTCAACCAAGCTAAACGACCTGCAAACGTGAATAGAGTCAGAGAACTAAACTTGTGGTGACTCTAAAAATCCATAAAGTTCCAATTGAAGAAAAATACACAAAAGACGAGGGAAGAGAAGGAAAAACAAAATAATACACTCTTCTCACATATTGAACCTCTCAATATCTCGAATGGGTTTGCAATTAATGACTGCGTCTGTTCACGTTGTTGTGCACATGGCATAAGACAAAACACACTTCAACTCTTGGTCAGGCTGAGGAAAAGCAGGAATTACATTTTTCCCTGTGCCGCGCGTACAATTGTTCCGCGATAGGGCGAAAGAAGAGAGAGAGAGAGAGAGAAGAGCTCGTCAGAGGTTGAAGATACACAAATTGGCAGACCATGAAATATTTCCATGAATAAACCGAGAGGAAAACGAGAAGAGTTATTGGTTTCCACTTGGTCCGTTTCCCATCCTCAAGACTTTGATGGGCAGAGACAGAGAGAGGGAGAGAGAAAGAAAGAGAGAGAGAGACAGTAAATTGAGAAGTCAGGGAGGGAAATTTCTGGATGGGCGGAAGGGGAAACTAAAGTGCTACAGTTATTTGATTAATCAATAATGAAAATGTTCAATTTCTCGCATACGATGGTGACATATTTAATTAATATGTTAGCAGAACCTTCAGAAAACCCTCAACCTCCCCTATTCACTAGAGAGAGACACACGAAAATTTAACCCATTCCCCGTCACAGATGAATTATTTACCGTCTCGGGACTCCACTCGAGATATCTTCATGTGGCAGCGAAAGAGCACCACTCTATATAGACACACTCATAAATCTCCCACAAATTATCACTTGGATACCTTCATAGTTCCACAGAGAGACAGAGTGAAAAGATGGATCAAGATCGTGATTTTCTCACTTATTGAATTACACTCTGCTAATTCCACAAAGACTCTTTCGTGGGAGTGAAGAGAAATGCTGTTGAATTCCATGAAATATCCAAATTGCAAATCTCGAGTTCAAAGAGCGCAATGCAATAGCTTTACATTGAATAGAGCGTAAATTAAAGGGGATGATAATAAAAGCGTGATTTTATTGACAAAATAAATTGACTCATTGAATTGTTAATAGTGGAATTTGTCTATATAATAATTAAACCAAGAATAAGCTTTGACCTGAAAGAACTTGATTTTACTCCTTAACTGCTTTAAAACTTTTCAAGTCAATAAAGTTCTGGATGAGAGAATTTAAAGACATTACGTGTTTCTTCTCAATGCTTTCCAGTTTGTGAACAGAAGAGACATTCTGGGGATGGAATTGCTTCCCATTTGTGCTTAAAATTGGGCACATCGATGTGTCTCAGATCTCTGAGAGGCGCTATTTTGTTTGGCGACAGGTACTATAAGTTTCATGAACTCACGCACTTTAAGCAGTCGACTTACTCGTGGTGGGCTTTCTGGAAAATTTCCCTAAAAACGTGCCAAAACTTGTGTGAAATGAACATGTGATTCACTGCAGGCAATGCTCAAGAGACTTTGCGGAGGTTTCGCGAGTTGCTCTGGCGCGAGGGGGGTTTCCAATCTCGAAGGTGGACCGGAACCTGTTTCTTGACCTCTCCTCGCCTCCCACTTTGCCGTCCCAATGATCTTTCATGTGTGCGTGAACAGAGATGGAGAGGCTTTTCGCCATGCCATCGTTGACGTGTCACAAGATTCCCCAAATCATTACTTGTGCCAAAGCTTAAGCAATCTTTCTTCTATTTCTGCCCAATTTATGCCTTATCAGAGCACTGATAAAAACCGTATTTACCTGATTTTCTCAACGATGTTCCTTGATTGGCTCGAGAATATCGATGGAAATGCTGACCGGAAAGGGAAGAAGTCTTCGTCGCCTGACTCAGATATGATGGAAAATCACTCTGGAAGCCGCACCGGTAGCCACTTAACAACTCCCCTGACCAAATTTCATCCGTCCGGAGATACTTTCTCTAGAAAAATATGCGATTTCTGCGTGACTTTTCTAGAGGAAAAGCACAACAAAAACAACCATGGGAGGCGACAAAAAAGCAACAGTCCGACTTTTGCTTGGAAAATTTTACTACATTTCACACGATTTTACCACTTCTCCACTAAAAATCAAGTACAAACTACCTGACCACAATCACACACCACGCAGATTGGACCTCTTTCAACGAGAAAAACACCAACTAAGCGCCACAATTCACGGCGAGACACAAAATAATTCTTCTCCGCTCGCGGAGATTCCAACTCGATTGACAGCCTCCCACCATACTGACAGCGACCACCGGCGACATCTCGCGGAAAGTGATGGAGAATTTTCTAGCAGTCACATTCTTGCAGGGGTTTTAAAAACATTTTCAGCAACGGGTGAAATTCTTGATGTGCTAGGAAAAATTGTGATTAGCTCAAGGATTTTACATGCTTGATGACTAGTTAAAAAAAAAAATAAAGATCGGAATGATTGCAAAAAATTTCAATATAATTTGAATTATTGAATTACCATAATTGGGTAGGGAATGAAATATTAAAACACTCATGGTTAAAACTTTTCTTGAAGGTTTGTCTCATTCCCTATTTTATGCGCATAGTGTAAATTGAAAATGAAATTATGGTATAAATTGATAAATTCTGAGTAATTATGAAGAAAAATACTTTAGAAAGTCAGAAACTTAACTGAAATCTTACTTTTCTTATTTCGACAATTTCTTTATTGAAAAACTGCTTCTAACAAATTGAAGAAAAATTGCCTTTAATACTTGTAAGAATAATTTTTAATCATGATTTCAAATTGCGAAACATTTTTGAGTGTATAAGGAATTTCCCGCGCATTTTCCAATGACGGGGAAGTGGAAGCACGTGCTTTTTCTCTCTCAGTTTCCACAGTCTCTCTCCGTCTCGCGAGGGGAGATTTACCCCCACTTTGAGCAGGAAAATGGGTGGATTCATCATCACCGGGAAAATCGTCAAAGGGGGTGAAAAGTGTGGAACTTGTGCTCTCGCTCTTGGTTCAGCTCTGCTCATTTTTCAGTGCGCCATCAACTGCTTGAGCGGCTGGATGTGTTTGTCGTCCTTCCATTCAACTCTCCAACCAAAATGCACCCCCAAATTGTTCAATTACACGAGGGCCTTTCCCTTGGCCTCTCAGGTGGGGATGCCGAAAATGCAGAGACTGGAGGTGAACAAATGATATTAAATTTTTATCTAAACTGCTATCATTGTCATTGTCTGGCGTGGCGATGATTTTTCTGTCTGAGTGATAAGGGGTGGGAATGTGGGTTACTTTTTCAGCCACTGTTTCGGGGGCTCGGAAATGGAATGCTGCCAATAAAATTTGAATGGAAATGGCATTTTTTTCGGGATGATGCCAGGAGAAAATAGAGTTCTTGTGTGACAAGAGGACAAATAATGACCCGTGTTTGTTCAATTAATGTTTTATCACTGTTGATTGTCACTTTCAGAATTGGTGTTGAATTGATATGTACATTTTCCAGTGAACGGAGAGACTAATTGCATTGGGTTATCGCAATGCAAATTTTTCATTATTCGTCAATCTGGGGAGACGCGAAAGAGAGTGGCGAGAGGCTTTTTGCCACCAACTTTGCAGAGATGTGTTGTCATGCTGTACAAATTAGGGACTCTGAAGCGGAAGGGATCAATTTGAGGTGGCTAATTGAAAGCTGATGTTCACGTGTCGAAGGTGTTTGATCGATTTGATTACAAAATTAATGTTGGGAAGTGACTAGACAATCATGTTTGCGGCTAATCCTGCGGGAAAGCGTCACAGGAACACGATATTGAGCAAATCTCACCACTATTGTTTTGATACACCACAATCAACATCCGAATCTCTGCAGCACAGCCGCCAAAAATTACTCACACCTCACCATTGTCATGGTTGTTCCACGAAAAGCTACAAGAGCGTTAATTAGGCTTTCAATGCACTTCCGGGCTGGAAAATGTTTGATTCCCCGTAAATTAGCTATTTGGCATTTTGGCATGCATTTAACATGACAAAGATAACGTTTTTCTGATAATTCAAATTTCATCCCATGAATTACACACATTTTGCCATTTGCCAAGCAATTTAACAAATATTTGAAATACACGCATAATAATTCCCAGAGTTGAGAGCGAGAGAGAGAGAGAGTGTGAGTGAATAGTAATTAAAATTTATGATATAATAACTCTCCAACCGAGCTTTCCTCCTCCTTTCATCCCGCTTTCGCTTCCTTAATCGCAATAAATGACATCTCATTACACTTTAATTCGTGCACATGGGAAAAGTCCTCGGTTTTGATCTAAATCGCAAATAAAAGTAATCCGATTCGATTAAGTAACATGTTGTTTTGATGACATTGGGTCACTCATTCGATTAATTGCGCTCCACTCCCCGTGGAAAGATCCTTTTCTCAGTTTCCATAATTAGTTTGATGAGGGAAAATCTCCACTCTGTGAAGCGTGAAACTTGCCTCTCCGCAATTCTCATGTGAGATAGGAAATTTTAATGTCTCACTCTAGGGGTGCTTTCGATACTCAATTTATCCCTCTTTTCACTCCATCGACCGCACACACATTCACTTTTTTGCCGCTCTATGTGTGGCTTCTTTCGCCTCTTGGGGATTTTCTTAACTTTCCCACATTCTCTGCAGTTTCCTCAATAAAATTTCACACGCGAGATATTTCGTGGGAAATTGGATGTGAAAAGGAGTGCCTTTTGGTATTTAAGTGATACTCCAATATAAATGTTTCAACGGTTTTGCCTATTAAGATGAGAGATGATTCTCAAAAAATTGAATTCAGTGGCTCTCATTTTCTAAAAAAAAATTAATATTTTATTTCTATATCTGCTACACAATTGAGTGCAAACGTCAGTCTTTTATACACACAAATTAGTGATTAATCAATAAGTCTGTATACATATTGTATAATTGCTTTTTACGTATGGTCGTGGGAAAATTCAAAAAGCATTCCCATGCACAAAAGTTACCCACATTGTTCGGCAATGAAGTAAATATCAAGGGAAAATGAATGGAAAATGCTTTTAATAAATTATGAAATTTTCAATTAAATCACACACAATCCCAATGGAAAAATATAGCAGCAAAAGGGAGAAGAGCGGTCGAATTCAATGTGAACGCAAATGGTGAAACGAAGAAAATTGATCGTGAAGCTGTAAATCTTCCTGCCAGAGTCCTTCTCACAATAAATAATAATAGAAGCGGAAGTGTGTGTCTAGCACATGATTGTTTAATGCTTGAAAATTCATTGTGCCAGCACAGGAGAGCTCTTCTTGAAAAGATATTATATTAATAAATGTTATGTGGGAGACAAAAGGGCAAAAACTCAATAAAGTCCCAAATAAATCAGGCCTCTATTCTTTCCTTTCGCGGCGCGGGTGGAGAATTTTCCTACTGCCGGGAAAGTTTGCTATGTATGCTCAGCTCATTGGAAAGTTGTGAAATATACTCGATGTGTTTCCCATAATGCCTCCTTTGTCGATGAAATTCACTCTCATTGTGGAGGATCAGCGCGCGAATCTCACACGATGGCGTGGCGGAGAATTTGCTGTGGGTGTGCGGAAAAAGTGTGAAAATCCACCTTACGAGACACCAGGACCACCTCAAGAATTCCTCCCATGTGAAGGGTGGAATATCGTGAGAGATAAATTTCATAAAGTCAGTCTTTCCTCTGTCTTTTGGCTCTGTTGTTCAGAACTTATTCTCGCTCTTTCGCATAAAACTTGCTCAGAAATCGATGTCTATTCAATGATTCGCGCGACGATGGAAGGGTTTTTCGTGAATTCGTGAAGGAAAGCATCACACCAATATTTTTTCAATGAATCTCCATGAGTCTCGCCGAGTGGAAAGTAAAACTTTTCGACACGTTAATAATAAAGGGATTATAATTCACTACTTTATGCGTCGTGAAGACTGTGTGGAGATGAAAATGGGGAGTTGGAAGTGCACGTGAGAAAGGATAAGTGAAATAATTTATGAAGTGCAAAATTAAATTCCACGACCTTAATGGCTTTCGTGACTATTGTGTGAAAGTGGTGAGAAAATGTTTTTCATTTCGAATTAATAAAAAAAAAACTTTCAAAAATCAAACAAGTCTGTTCATATTTGAGAATTTGAGAATAACTGTCTTAAAAACACTGGCAAAATCAACTCTTCACTTTCACTTTTCGTCCGTTTAAGAGCCACTTTCATACAATACGAGACCCATTTATCAGCGAGGAAAGATGCTATACATCTCTATTTTCCACTTATCATTGCACTTTCATCTGTCTTTTCATCCCTTCTTGCGAGATTTCCTAAGGAAGTGATTTAAGCATAGCTGTAAAAGAGTAATTGAATTATATTTTCTTGCTGAGCAAAAAATCCACAAGATAAAATGGTCATTAAAAACACTTATAGCTTGTTTGAGGGTTGTAACAATTAATAATTATGTATGAGAGAGTGTAATAAACTTGAAAAGGGGTGGAAAACTCAGACAGAAATAGTCGTAAAAGAGGGTGGAGCGGTTTTGTTGAGATTTTTTTGCGCTGATAAGAAAATGGAATGGGAAAGCGTTGTATCATGGCAGCACTAAATTCTTTTCATGCATTCAAGTGTATTTAAAAAAAAATCATATTAATTTTCTAATTCACCGTGTGTCTCATTAATTGAGTGAGAATTTCTTGGGGTAATATTTATTGTCTAACTATTCAGTGAACTTGAAAAGAACAAGCAGAGAAATTTATTGCTGAATGTCGTGACAATAAGTAATTAAAGTTGGTCTTTACACCAACATCGTGAAGATCTTCAAGCCATAACTTTCTTTTCATCCACCCATGTTTTTTCCTCCATCACCACCCATTTGGGGTTTCATTTTCGAAACAATTATTCTCACCGACCGATTCACTAGCAAAGGAGTGGGAAGATTTAAAAAGTTGAAATCAATTAATCTTCCTATTAGTGGAATAACAAAGTTTCGCCAGATTTTTCTCTCCACCCTCAAGGTGGATCCTTTTACGCTGAGGATAAAATGCAATAAAGCACACAGAGAGTCTTTTTTTCCTTGCACCCGAGAGTTCTTAAGAAGTATCACAACAAGCAAGACTACTTGAGCCACTCCGAATATTGAATAATTAAGTTAATTTCCTCCACGAAAAAAGGCGGTGGTCTTCCACAAGTTTTCCCTCTTCGCTTCACGCTGAGTGTACTTATAAGTAATGTCTCTCTTACGCTGCTGAAAATGGCTTGAGCATTTGAAAAGAAAGCGTCCT